CTTTCCATCATCAGTCAAAATACCAATGAGCATTAAAAAGCTGCAGGGAGCAGTGAGACAGGCACTTACCTACTGCTAGTGCAAGTACAAATTGATAGTCTATCTAGGAAGCAGTTTGGCAAAGTAGGTGAAAACTCCTAGGTTGCCACTTCTCATCACTTCTGCTGATTTTGCCCTGTACTGAGTCCCATCATCTATTTCCAGGAGTTTGCAGTAGCCTCCTAACTGGTCTCTGCTTCTCTGCCCTGCCCCCATTATAGTCTGTTTTCAACAGAGTAATGAGAGTGACCCTTTTCAAATGAAAGTCAGATCATGTTATTCTTCTGTTCAGACCCCTGTAATCTCTTCTCATTTCACTCAGAGTGAAAGTGAAATCCTTTCCCTAGGACTGTAAGGCCCTGTGTGAACTGACCAGCCCTTTATCTCTCTGACTTCCTCTACTACTACTGTTCCCCTCATTTGTTCCACTTCAACCATTCTGGGAACTTTGCTGTTCCTCAGACACGTCCCATAAGCTTTCCACTTAGGGACTTTGTACTGTTTCCTTCATTTGAAGTGCTCTTTTTTTTTTTTCAGCTATCTACCTGGTTAACTCTATTTCCTTCAAGTCTTTGTGAAAATCTTACCTTCTAAATATGTCTTATACTGGTTACCCTATCCAATACCCTATTCAACCCTCCCTCCAACACTCTGGCACTTCTGACACTCTCTACCCTGCCCGTTTTCTTTTCTCTTCTCCATGGCGTACTTTGGACTGTGTTTACTATTTATCCACTGCCCTCTCCCACCCTTTAAAAATATAAGCTCCACAAGTACAGGTTTCACAGTGTCCGGCACAAAGTTGATACTCAAATATGGTTGAATGGATGAGCTTTAAAAATAGCAATGTCTTTTGACCTAGAAATCTCACTTCTAGACTCGTTCTTAAAATAATTGGAGATGTATTCAAAGATTTATTTAGGTTGTTTTCATAGCTGTATTTATTATACTGAAAAATTTCAAACAACCTAAACGTCTAAAACAGAGTGATAATTAAATGATTCGATCGATCTGTATAATGGAATATTATAAAGATATTTAAAGTAATATTTTTTAAGAATATGTAATTATATGGGAAAATGCTTATAATGTTAAAGTGAAGAAGTAGAATGTAAAACTACATATACCCACACCCTTACTTCACACCATATACAAAAATGGATCAGTAATCTAAATATAAGAGTCAAGGCACCAGGGCAACTCATTTTGTTAAATGTCTGACTCTTCATTTTGGCACAGGTCATGATCTCAAGGTTGTGAGATCAAGCCCTGCATTGAGCTTTATGTTGGGTGTGGAGCCTGCTTAAGATTCTGTCTCCCCAACTCCCTCTCAAATAGAGAGAGAGAGAGAGAGAAGCAAACAAGCCAAAACCGTAAAACTCTTAGAAGAAACCATAAGGTTAAATCTTCATGACAGTGGATTTGGCAATGGATTCTTAGATATGACACTAAAAGTATGCAACAAAACAAAAAAAAAATAGGTAAATTGGACTTCATCAAAATTAAAAAATTTTGCATATCAAAGGTATTATCAAGAAAGGGAAAAGACAACCCATGGGATGGGAGAAAATATTTGCAAATTTTTATATTTGCAAATGTTTGCAATGATTAGGGTTTAATATCCAGATACTATAAAAAATTACTAAAACTTAACAAAATCAAGCAGCTCAATTTTTTAAATAAGCAAATGTTTTGAATATGCATTTCCCCAAAGAGGTAATGTGAATGGCCAATAAGCACATGAAAAGATGCCCAACATCATTAATCATTTGGGAAATGCAAATTGAAATCACAGCATGAAGATACCACTTCGTGCCTATTAGAATGACTATAATAAAAAATAAAAACTATGTGTTGGTGAGAATTTGGGAAAATTGGAACCCTCATACATTGCTGTGAGAGTATAAAATTGTGTAGCCTGTATGCAAAAACAGTTTGGTGGTTCCTCAAAAAGTTAACCATATAATTACCATATGATCAAGTAATTCCACTCCCAAGTATATACCCCAAGGAATTGACAACACGGACTCAGAGAGATATTGTACACCAATGTTCATACCAGCATTTTCACAATATCCATAAGGTGTAATCAACCTAAATGTCTAACAGTAGATGAATGGATAAAAAGATGTGGTATTTACAAACCATGGAGTATCACTCAGCCATAAAAAGGAATGAAGTTTCAATACATGCTAAAACATGGATGAATCTTGAAAACATTATACTAGGGCAGCCCCAGTGGTGCAGCGGTTTGGCGCCGCCTGCAGCCCAGGGTGTGATCCTGGAGACCCGGGATCGAGTCCCACATCGGGCTCCTTGCATGGAGCCTGCTTCTCCCTCTGCCTGTTTCTCTGCCTCTCTCCCTCTCTCTGTGTCTCTCATGAACAAATAAATAAAATCTTAAGAAAAAAATATATATATACATACATACACACTAAAGGGAAAGAAGCTAGGACGCCTGGGTGGCTCAGTTGGTTAAGTGATTGACTCTTGATTGTAGCTCAGGTCATGAACTCAGAGTTGTGAGATCAAGCCCTGCATTGGGCTCTGTGCTGGGCGTGGAACCTACTTAAGATTCTCTCTCGAAAGTGGAACCCTCTTAACATTATTGGTGGGAATGCAAACTGGTATAGCCATTCTTGAGAATGGAGGTTCCTCAAAAAGTTAAAAACTACCCTAATAATCCAGCAGTTGTGGTACTAGTTATTTACCTAAAGGATACAAAAATACAGATTTGAGGGGCACCTGGGTGTCTCAGTCAGTTAAGCATCTGCCTTCATCTCAGGTCATGATCCCAGGGTCCTGGGATTGAGCCCCAAATCGGGCCCCCTGCTCAGTGGGGAGTTTGCTTCTCCCTTTGCCTCTGAAGCTTCTCCTGCTTGTGCTAGCACACTCTGTCAAATAAATAAAAAGTCTTTAAACAAAACAAAACAAAAATGCAGATCTGAAGGGGCACATAAACCACAATGTGTATAGTGTGTAGCAGCATTTTCAACAATAGCCAAACTCTGGAGAGAGTCATCTATCCATTGACTGATGAATGGATAAAGAAGATGTGACATATATGTACAATGGAATACTACTCAGCCATCAAAAGTGAAATCTTCCCATTTGCAACGATGTGGATGGACCTAGAGTAAATTATGCTGAGTGAAATAAGTCAGTCAGAGAAAGACAAATACCATATGATCTCACTTATGTGTGGAATTTAAGAAAGAAAACAGATGAACATATGGGAAGGGGAGGGGAAAATGACAGGGGGAAATAAACCATAAACACTTTTTTTTTTAAGATTTTATTTATTCATGAGAGACACAGAGAGAGAGGCAGAGGGAAAAGCAGGCTCCTTGCGAGGAGCCTCATACAGAAATCGATCTCAGGATCATGTCCTGAGCCAAAAGCAGACGCTCAAACACTGAGCCCCCCAGGTGCCACAACCCTAAGAGACTCTTAATAATAGAAAACAAACTTAGGGTTGATGGAGGGAGGTGGAGGGGGGTGATGAGCTAGATGGGTGAAGGGTATTAAGGAAGGCACTTGTGATGAACACTGGGTATTGTATGTAAGTGAATAATCACTTAATTCTACTTTAGAAACCAATATTGCACTGTATGTTAACTACGTGAAATTTAAATAAAAAAAAAAACTCTCCCTCTGTCCATCCCCTTCCCCCCTCTTTAAAAAAAACGTGAAAGAAGCTAGACACAAAAGGGCAGTGAATGATTTAATTTATATTAAATATCTAGAATAGGCAAATTCATGAAAATAAAGTAGATTAGAGGTTAACAGGAGCTATGGGGAAAAAGAATGGGATGTAACTGCTTACTTCGTACAGAATTTAGAGTGATTAAAGTCTTAATAACAGCGGGGATAGTTGTACAACATTATGAACACAGTTCATGCTACTGAATTAATTATATACTTAATATGGCTAAAATCACAAATTTTATGTTACATGTATTTTGTCCAATAAAATTTTCAAAATAAGAGGTTCCCCACTGGCTCAGTTCATAGAGCCCATGACTCCTGATCTTGGGGTCATGAGTTCAAGCCCCACATTAGGGAGTAAATTGTACTTAAAAAAAAAAAATCTATTAAACATAAAAAAAAAACCCTATATATAATAGGCAGTAGCAGGCTGGATCTGGTTTGTGGGCTTTCTAGAACCAATTGTGAGCATTTTTTCCCAGCTACCTCTTTTGACATTAGTAGCTTGAAATTGGCCATGGTGGGAGTATTTCTACCATGGGACTTAGTGAATGCTACAAATAGAGCTCCACTTCAATCCCCTCAAGCCAGTTGTTAAGTATTTACCAGAACACCACTGAATATACGTATATAAAAATGAGTAGGAAACTATCTGGAAAGATAGCTGTTACTACCCCTGGGGAGCGGGGTAGTGTTGCAGCAGGAACGAGAATAAACTTAGGCTTTTTACCATATACACTTCTATGGTGTTTCAGTTTTTTTGTTTTGTTTTGTTTTTACAGTAAGTATAGAGACATATAGTTCTTTTACTGCTTTTAAAAAATAGAAAAATCTGCATATGTTGGGATTGTGGTATTGGTGAGTTTTCTCATAGAGTTAAAAGCTGGTCACAGGGCAGCCCCGGTGGCACAGCGGTTTGGCGCCGGTGGCACAGCGGTTTGGCGCCGGTGGCACAGCGGTTTGGCGCCGCCTGCAGCCCAGGGCGTGATCCTGGAGACCCTGGATCGAGTCCCACATCGGGCTCTCTGCATGATGCCTTCTCTCTCTCTCTCTCTCTCTCTCTCTCTCTCTCTCTGTGTGTGTCTATGAATAAATAAGTAAAAAATCTTTTAAAAAAATTAAAAATAAATAAAAGCTGGTCACATATACTGTCTGAAAAGGCCCACAGTGAGGCTGAAGGCCAAACCTGGGACTTGGATTCTGTTTCCTTTTCTTTCCCAACTAATTGGGTTTTTTTGTTTGTTTCTTCATAGGTTACCCTACAGCCTACCCGGCAGCAGCCCCTGCCTACAATCCCAGCCTGTACCCCACCAATAGCCCCAGTTATGCTCCAGGTAAGGAGAAAGTGGAGACCGCAGTGATGCCTGGGGTGGGAAGTGGGCTCTGTTTGGAAAAACACACCCACCTGTTGGCCTTTCCCTATCCTTAATTGTCTTGGACTCATCCTGTCCAAACGTGATTCTCTTAGGAGTCCCCTCTAATAACTGGGGCAGTTGAGACTCAGGGTTGGGGTGGGAATAGAATCTCCTCCATTCTCCTTAGGATTTAAGATTGGCCAATCTCTTCTCTGCTAGCATATCTGAGACATGCATCCTCCTCACAGAACCTTTTCTGCTCTCCTAAACAATGTCCAAATCCACTCTTTGCTTAGTTTTCCTTAAGACTGCCATTGAGACACACACAGATGCAAATACACACTCACCAGACTTCCTGGATATGGATTTGGAAGAGAGTGAGAGACTTGCCACCAGAGGATAAAAAACTGGTTTTCAATCTAAGGCAAGGAACCTGTATTTCAAAAATAAGAAAGGCGTAGCACTCCTTCAATGGAAATTGAAATAGATTTGAAAATGTTGAAAAAGTTTTAGTTTAGGCTAGGAGCAATGCAGAGGTCTTACCACTGATACTAACCCTCGTACTTAGGTGCTTTAACATTCAAGGGGCTGGAAAAAGAGTATGGACACTGCATTTAAAAAGTCCTGGGTTTGAATCCTGATTACTCAACTCACTAGTTTGTGAAGCCTTGGACAAGATACCTCATCTTTCAGAGAAATGTGTTACTCACCTTAGAGGTGTAGATGGTTTTATCTGAGTTCCTTTTCATTTACTCAACAAATATTTATATGTTGAATGTCCTCCACATTAGAATAGAGAAAAAGAGCCATCTTTGCCTAAAATAACTTACAGTTCATTTGGTAGTTGGCATATAACCAAATTCATAGCTCTGTGATGAGTATTTGTGAAGGGAATACCTGTAAGAAGAGAGGAAGCAGAAGAGAGAACAACAATCTGCCTGAGGTTGAAAGTGTCCAGGAGGCCTCACAGGGGGCCTAGCAATAGAGGCCTGAGTGAGGGAGAAGCAGGAAGCATTCTTTAAAGCATACAAAGGAAGAGTTGGGCATTCCAGGCAGAGTAGAGCCTGGGCAAAGGAATGGTAGTGTGAGGATGGTTGAAGCACACTGGGGTGGGTGTGGGGGTGGAGATAAAAGAGGGATCTGAACTACAGATGTCAAGTGTATCCAATCAGCTTTAAATAAAAAGCATCGCGAGTCTTCCGTGAGACTCAGCTCTATAAGCTGAGTGGAAACCGAGCCTTGGAAATCCCTTTCACAAAGATGGCGCTGAAGGTGAAGAAGGAAGCCTCTGCCCCTCCCAAAGCCGAAGCAGCAGCCAAAGCAAAGGCTTTGAAAGCTAAGAAAGTGGTGCTGAAAGGTTTGCACAGTCACAATAAAAAGGAGATCCATAGGTCACCTACATTCTGACGACCCAAGACCCTGCATCTCTGAAGGCAGCCCAAATATCCTCAAAAGAGCGTCCCCCAGGAGAAACAAGCTTGATCACTATGCCATCATCAAGTTCCCCCTGACTACTGAGTCAGCCATGAAGAAAATAGAGGACAACCACACACTTGTGTTCATTGTGGATTTCAAGGCCATTAAGCACCAGATCAAACAGGCTGTGAAAAAGCTCTAACATTGATGTGGCCAAGGTCAACACCCTGATCAGGCCTGATGGAGAGAAGAAAGCATATTTTTGACTGGCTCCTGACTCTGATGCTTTGAATGTTGCCAAACATCATCTAAACTGAGTCCAGCCGGCTATAAATCTAAATTTTTTCACCATTTAAAAAAAAAAATGAACTACCGACGTCCATGGCCAAGATGTGGAAGGGCCTTGAATGCCATGATAACACCCGTTTTCTTATTTAATAGTGATTATTCTAGAGTTAAAAAGCTTGAAAAGACCTTAGAGGTCCTCCAATTCGGCCTTTTCTCTTGATAGGGGAGATCCAGAGACAAGCAGTGTTTTGTCCAAGTTACCCAGTGAATCCGCAATAGCATATGGACTGGAACCCTTGGCAGATCTTCTGGTTCTTGGTCTCATGTTTCTCTGTGCCAGTCTAGCACTCATCCTACCATCATTCCCTTTCTTCTAGAATATTTGTATGAGAGAAGAACATGGACTATGTCAGAACACCTGAATCTGAGTACTGTCACTTCATAAATTAACAACCTTAAATCACCTGACCCCTCTGAACCTCAGTTACTTCATTCTGAAGGAGGGATCATTTTGTAATTGAACACACATGCACATACTATGAGCCCCCTCTTTTTTGGGAGACAGGAACTATTTTAATGCAAATAAGTGATGTTAACCCCCTAAAGTGCTTACATAGGTGTGTCATTCCATAGACATTTATTTTGGCCTTGAAATGCCCAAGGCACTCGAAGATACTGGATGTGATTCAGACTTGAGGGAAGTAAAGTCATTGCCCTCAGAGCTTGTGAGGGTAGCAGTTATCCACAGGCTAAAAAAAATCTCTATCTCAGCATTAATAGTTTATTCTGTATTCACTTTTAGTCAATAAGATATATATTTCCAAAAAATGTATGAGACAGAAACAATAAAAACTGCAGAAATTAACTCTGATAAAAGATTTAATCAAATTTGTTAAGTTCTTTCTTAAAAACTACGGCATTTTGATTATCAAGTATCTCACAATATAGAAATGATTTTTTTAAAAAAGATTTTGTTTATTCATGAGAGAGAGAGAGGCAGAGACATAGGCAGAGAGAGAAGCAGGCTCTGTGCAGGGAGCCCTATGTGGGACTCGATCCCGTGACTCTAAGACCATGCCCTGGGCCAAACACAGATGCTCAACCACTGAGCCACCCAGGCGCCCCTAGAAATGATTTAAATCTAAATGCTATGAGATCTGTGAATTGGCTGGTCTAAAATAAAATTAGGTGAGTAGTTGCAGAAGGTCAGCTAAGGTCAGGAATGAAGAAGATATATTGTCTGTATAGTCAAGAGGTCACCAGTGACCTGTAAAGCAGAGTTGATGAGATGGAGACGCTGGAAGTGAAAAGCAGGTAGAGCCTGCTCTTACAAGAGGCTTGGCTACAATACAAGGGCAAGGAGAACAAGGGGAGGTGGGATTAAAGGAGGCAGTTTTTAGATAAGAGCGTAGTGAAGTAAGTGCTGATGGGAAGGAGCGAATGGGGAAGACAAGTCAGAGATGTAAAAGGATCCGGGCCTTCAAGGAGGCTATGGTGAAGTGGGAAACCTAGAGCTCTGTTCTCTTTTTTGTTTTGGGGAGCAGGTGGAGTGGGGTGCCTCACACAGGATGGCAGCTGTTCCTCTCAGACTAAAGAAGAGGTCACAGATGGCTGTGCTTAGAAAAAATCACCCAGTGGAAAGTGGAGAGTTCTTGTCTAATAGTTTTGATTTGCCAAGAGAGAGGTGAGGGTTCTTATGGAGAGAGGTCAAGGTATGAATGCCTTACTGGAAAGAAAAGGTAACACAGCTTTGTAACAGGAGGCCTCACTGAGGGTGGAGGCCGTGAATTCATCAAGGCTTTAATTTCCAGCACTGGGGCATTTTCTCATAATGTTTAGGACTTACGGTGATCGTTTATGGAATTGTTAAGGATTAGTTTGGCGAGAAAGTGGGAGGACAGAGAATAAAAATAAATAGGTAATATTTGTTGAATGGATCCTATGTGCCAGGGACTATTTAAGCTTTTTACGAATATTGACTTGTTATCTATTACAGTAAACCTTTGAAGTCATTATTATTGTTAATTTCATTTTCCAAGTGGGAAAACTAAAATTTACAGGAGTTGGGAACTAGCCCAAAGATCCAAACCCAGGAACTACTACCACAGCTGAATTTGCTCTGCAGTCAACCAGAGAGAAATTAAAGGAGTTAAACTAGAGCAACCAGACTAAGAAGAACAGATAGGAGGAGCCTAGGACTGTGGAATAAAGAGATGAGATTGGAAAGCTCCAGGCATGTGTAAAGTACTAATAAAGTCTTAATTTTAAAAATAAAATATCAGCCCAAGATTTTTCACAATTTTGTGTTTTCAAAAGTTCAGCATATTTCTAAGCTATGATTACAGCAACCTGACCATGGGTTTCCTTAGAAACCCGTACAGTCCACTATAGAGGGTGGTGTTAGCACATTGTGTCAGAAAGCCCCAAATTAGGAGTTGGAAGGACTGGGTTTCTAGCCCTAACTCTTCTACTGATTTTGGTGTAACCTTGAGCAGATTCTTTTCCTTTGGAGTTAGACACACACACACACACACACACACCTGCACGCACAATTGGTCTGTTTCACATTTTGGGAGGCCAGCTTCTGCATTCACTAGGTCTCCTGACTGCCATAGGGGAGCTCCTGCTGAGGAAGAGCTGGCTCAAGGACAGAGAGGGCAGTGTAGGTTACTCTCAGCTTCCTGCCAGAATCAGCCATTTGTGATGCCATGAGATGCCTGCAGGGTAAAAGTCTGCAAAGGAGCCAAGCTCTCAGGTTTAAATTTCTCTCGGCTTCTTCAAGGAGACCAAGAAGTTGCTTCAGAAAGAGCTATTTTTAGCAGCTGTGAGTACTCTAAGATGTCATCTGTTCAGGATGCAGGGTAACATTTCACTCTTTCATTGGTTCTGAAAGCAATGTAGGTACTTGGAGCTTTTTTCTGAGTTCTTAATGACTTCAGGGATCTTATTTAAGAACTATTTGGCCACCCCCCCTCCCCCCAAAAAAAGAACTATTTGGCCCTGCAAGAGGCAGGGGCCAGGTTTTCAGAATCTAGAAACCAAAGGATATATCGCATTATTGGTAATCTTACTTGAATATGAAAGGAAAAGATAAACAGAATAACTAACATAGATAGAAATGAAACACATAGTCACAAGAGGTCTGTTTATAAATCACTTTCATCTACTGTCTCACTTGATTTCATGGCAATTTTATAAAGTACAAATATATTGTTCCAATTTTGCATATGACAAACCTTAGGAAAAACAAGGGAAAGGAATATGCCTGCCATATTCCAGGCACTGTGCAAGGCATGTTACAAATGTTAATTCCTACTTCAGTCTTGTGTAAATTGAATCTTCCTGCTCCCAGTTTTGCTCAGAGGTTAAATAACTTGTCCAGAGTTGCACAGCTAAAAAGCAGCGGAGCTGGAATTCAAACCCAGTCTGTCTGACCCTACAGCCTATCCTCCTTCTGTAGCACCGCACTCTCCTGGAGGTTTCAAGTGAAGTATCTCTGCATTGGTCCTAGCCCATGAGGCTTTACAGAGAGTTCTTCAGAGTCCAGAAGTGATGATTTTGTCCCTGAACCTTACTTCCTCTAGTACACAAAGCCTCTGTCATGTGTGAAGTCCTTCTACAATTCAGAGAGCACTAACTTGGGTCAGCTACCTGGAAGATGCCATAGCATCAAGGAGGCACTTCTCAATGAATGGGCTTTCCTGGATGGCAAGTCTGTCATTCCCTCCGGGGTAGAGGCACTTCACACCGTCTGCATTCACTGTTTTTATGTCACCTGGGGGAAACTGCTATCTTGAGACAGTCTGTTTTTGTAACTGCAATGTGTACTACTTTGCACAAATTCTTAGTGGTAATTTCAACTAACATTTCTATCCAACAGAGTTTCAGTTCCTGCATTCAGCTTATGGTAGGAGAGCTATTTTTCCTCATCTGTATTATGGCCTATGAATGTGTTATCTCATAACAACGGTAGATCCCCTCTCCTTCCCTCCCCAAATCCCATTCCTTAGGCTTGGGCTCCCCCAGGTGGCTCAGCAGCAGTTCCTAAAGCATGCAGGAACATGTCTGATGGTGCAAAATCATGGGTTGGAGACACACATAAACCGTCCCCTAGGGCAGCAATGAAGGATCATGGCACTAAAAGGCGTCTTTCCCCTTCCTCACCTCTGGGGTCCCATCTGACCTAGGTCAAAAACTTTCACCCTAACTTGGCTACTGAATTCAAGCAATCAAGTGAACAAAATTCTTCAACCTGTATGGCTCCTCTGTTGGCTTTGTGGCAGCTCTTGTGGAGGAGTACCTGGATTATGCCTATAAGAACCCAAAAAAAGCAGTCTGCCCGAGGATCAGATTTTCTATCTCTGTTGGCAGTCTGACATGTTTGAAGACCTGGTTGACTTTAGATACAATCTGTTCCCTTAGCCCAGATCTTGAGCTCTGGCTCATTTTCAGGGCATTTTCCTGGATGGTGAGAGGTGAGGGCCAAGTGTGCTAAATAAGCAAGGTCCTCTGGGCAGTGTGGACTCCAGGCCTAAGGCACCACAGGAACTTCTGGGCACCTGTGAGGGTCCCAGCAGTGTAACTGGACTAGGTCCTTTTTGTCACAGACAGTAAGGGACCATGGGAGGGAATCACCACTTTCACTACCCTCACCTGGGCTGCTCAGGATAATGTTTTCATTAAAATCTCTGCACACTTTCTTAACTTTTAACCTTGAATTGTTTGGACGTTAAATATTGAATTTGTGTGTGGCACATCTTTCAGGAGATGAGCTGTGAAAATTTCTCCTTGCCACTGCTGTGGGCTGCGTGATCTTGGGCAATTTACTAATGTCTCCAGGCCATAGGTAGTATTTTTTCCAGATGCTCTCTTAGGTCCCTTTAAGTGTAAACAGCCTATCCTCTTATAATTATTTTATTTTATTTTATTTATTTATTTATTTATTTATTTATTTATTTATTTATTTATTTATTTTTAAGTTTTTTCATAGAGACACAGCTAGAGAGAGAGGCAGAGACACAGGCAGAGGGAGAAGCAGGCACCATGCAGGGAGCCCGATGTGGGACTCGATCCCTGGTCTCCAGGATCACGCCCTGGGCTGCAGGTGGTGCTAAACCACTGTGCCACCCGGGCTGCCCTAATTTTTTTTATTTTAATTTTTGCTAGTCACGGACCTGTTTCTCTTGTTATTTATGGGAGTCCATTTTTTGTTTGTCTCAGGATATATGAACTTGAACAGAAGGCTCCATAAAAAGTGAGAGAAACTCTCATGTTTCCTCACCCCTCTAATTATAGCATCTTAAATAGAAATACTAAAAAGTATGTGTGGGACTCTTAAAAACTGTTTTGTGCCAGACCCTACACTGGCCCTTTAAAGATACAGACCATAAGTCAAGGACCCTATTCTAAAGGAGCTCACAGTTTAGTGAGGGAGACAGATAAGCCAGCAAGTATAGGAGCGTCTAAGAATCACAGAAACTGGGATAGCAAACCATATGTATGTGCAGAGGCTGTGGTCAAAGGGTGGGGAAAAGAAAAGACTTCATAGTAAAGACAAACTCATGATTGATGGATTAATAGATTTTTACCATGTGGCATTTGGGGAAATACATACCAGGAAGAGTGAACAATGTGAGCAAAAATACAGAGAAGTGACATGACACTCCTTGGCATAATTTTGGAATGATAAAGTTTGTGTGGCTGTCATGTAGGGTTGGAAAGTGAGAACAGTGAACGTCTAGAGAGATCACAAAGCTAGGTCATGAGGGGCTTTGAATGCCATAAGAGAAGTTCAGCTTTAGCCTAAGCAGTGGAGAACCATGGAATGTTTTTAAGATTTTGGGATTAGGTTTAAGTCTTAGAAATATCTCTTTATTGCAGCTTGGAGATTGGATTTGGCAGGTTTAAAAACAGAACAATGAGGAAACAGTTGTAGTGGTTCAGTTAAGAGCTGATGAGAACTTAAATGAAAGCTGCCCATAACTATGGGGTTGGAAGATGGACAGATAGATACCAGAATTAGAAACTGTAAGACTGGATGACACTTTACTTTTGATCCTCACATCAACAGTATGAAACAGTCAGGGAGGGATTATTACTGCTATGTTTGAGACAACAGAAGTGAAGTTTAGGAAGGTTAGGTGGGAAAAAAAAAATGTTAGGTGACTTGCCCAAGGTCCCCCAGCTAATAAGTGGCACAGCCCAGGCTAGAACTCAGATTTCCTGACTTACTGCATTATTCAGGATGATGGTCCCTTGCTGCCTCTCTTCCTTGTAAGTGTGCTTAACAGATTGTTCAAGTGTCAGAGGGCATGAGGGCCCCCATATCCCGGGAAGTGAACAACCCAGCACCTGGATGTGGGCAGCATGCTGTGACTGGGCCATGGCCCTTCACCGCCAAGGGTTCTCTCTGTCTCTCCTTTCTAAATTGAGGAATGACACATATACAGTAGTACCTAAAGCACACTATAGCCTCAAATGTATAGCTCAATAATATTTCACATATGTATACACTTGTATTTAACTACCATCCAGTTCAGAATATAGAACATTTCTAGGAGTTCATACCTTCTATGACACCCAAAAGCAGGCATGCCTGCCAGAGCAGCCTCCTCTCTTACTATACCTCTAAAGTTTCTGTCAGATTGTCTTCATCCCACAATTGAGCTCTGAATTGCTATCACCAACAGAATGGGTTACTTTAGAATTGTACATGGAAGACAAAGATCATATAGTGCAACCAACCAATGAGGAGGTCCAGTTGACAGCTAATATTTGTTTTTTCTAGTCTTCACATTTATTCAGTTATTTAAATTATTAAGTATTCAGATATAGAGAGAAATATAGAAAATACTAATATTTGTTTTCTTTTTTAATGAAACCAGAAGAAAATGCACACTTCTCCAAGAACATACATAGTTTACTTCATTCAATCAGATAAGACATAATCAAAGGCACAGTCGCACTTGCTTCTTTCCTGGTTAATCTGGAATGTTATTTTATTGTGTGTAATGCTGTCTTGTTCACTCTCTGGTTGGCGTGTGGCTTTGTTGCATCCCCAGCTGGCCCATAAATACCTTGTGTGCGGTGACCATGACCCACGTGTGTTCCTGTCCACCGTGGCGCTCCCCTCAGTGCTGAGTGCAGTGTAGGCTTCAGTTACTCTTTGGTTAATTTTGATTTACTTAAATTGTCATGCAGTCCTTCAGACTAATGTCAGACTTTTGGCTTATGATGAAAATTATGGTAAAGTATACACCACTTGGGGAAAAAACTGGACTGGAACAGGACCCAAACTCTCTGTGGCTAAATTCAGACCTCCTGCTTCCTTGTGTAGTCCCTATGGGGTCTTGAGGACATCTGACTTCTCAGAACTACATGTTTCACTTTTTAGAGAGTAGTTTTGAATGACTAAGGCTTTCAAGCCACATTGAGTGGAAAGTTCTAAATTTGGAGACATCTTGATAAATTTTTCAACACTAATTGGATCCTTTATTAATCCCGACTCCCCACCCCCAGCCCCACCCCATGCTGGGGAAGAGAAACCTAAGATAATTGTTTAAAATTGACTGCCCTCCTCCCAATGTTGCCTGCAGAGCCATGTCTTGATGTCCGGCAATGGCTTTGGACTCTGCATGGAATTCTGCTGGATCTCCATTTCTTCTGCCAGAATTCTCCTTTTAGTGTCACTTTCCTGCCCATGATTTCCTTCTCATTTCTTAGCATCTGCTGTATATATTGCGGGCCATTAATGCAAGTACAGTGTCAGCCCAAAACAGCTACACTTCTAGCCTTAGTTCAGCAAAACAGAGTCCTTGACCTCCTCCTCTGGCCCCAGTACTACCATGACTGAAGGAATGAGAGGCATTACCTGTTATCTGGATGGGCAGGGTGGTTATGGGATCTCTCTGGAGGTGGACTGTCCTTGCCCTGGTGGAATTAAAATGTATAGGCATACTTCTCATGCCACCCTGTTTTGCCTTAGCCTCTTGTTAAAAATGTTTCAAGTGTATACAGTTGTTGCTAGTGTAGCCTCCCCACACACACACCGGGCAGCCAGTCCTGCTCTTCTTTAAAACTCCTCATGTCTAAGATCTTATTTGAGTGCAAAAGATACTGTTAAAATGATTCTTCCTACTTTAAGTAGAAATTTGGGTCAAGAATGGTTTCTCCTCTAGGAGAAAATATATCAAGAGAAATCTCTAAAATGTAGGCTTTTTCCCCCCCTTTGAAACCCTCTTTCCTCTCTCCTTCCCACAGGATACCACGAAGGTAAGTTTTTTGAGTCATTCCCCACTTCTAGATCATATGAAGCATCATCCTTCAAATTTCTCAAGCTGAGCTTCAGGTCAGCCTGAGAAGTCTCTGCAGATTTCTTTCAAACTGGGCCACATCTCTATTTTACACCTGCCCCAAGTTTGACATATAATTTCTTAATAGCCCAGCAGATCCTCTCTAATTCACGAGAAGACATCTCAGGTAGGGCACCAAGAGTACCTTTAGCAGGAGGATGAAAGGTGTGCAAGAGGGTTTTCTGTCTGGCCCAAGCAGGGTGCACAGGAGGAGTAGGAAGTACCCCACTGGACAGCCTGTACCTTCTGAACTGCCAAAGCTCAGTCCCTTTAGAAGAGATGACAGTCCAGCAAGGTTCATGTTATGTGGTAATTCTCTTGAGGTCTCTCTTTGACAACAGCTTATTAAATATCTACCCCTAGGTGAGATTTCAAGCATAAAAAAGGAGTACTCAGTTGATCTGGCCTAACACACAAAGGCTCCAGGTTGCTACATATTACTAAAAAAGCCCTTAAGGACTATCCCAGAGCCTTAGGCCAGAATGTCAGGCAGTGGTATTCATAGGCATCTTCATGGGTTTTGGTAGGGTGTAGAAAAACCTGGCTTTCTCAGTGTAAACTCAGAATTCCTTAGTTTCAAATCATTTTGAAGGCTCACTTTAGCACTCCTCCCAACCCACTCACCCATCTCAGAAAGGCTGAACCATCCTGTGTGTCTGAATAGGGACCTTTGGGTTATATGTTTCCATCCAGCACAAGACCCTTGCTTTGTGTCTGTGATTGGTGGTGCCCACTTCTTATTTCTGCCTAATGCCATTCTTGTGTCTTCCCTTAAGCAACTCTGCTGATGAAACAGGCTTGGCCACAGAACTCGTCTTCCTGTGGTACTGAAGGCACCTTCCACCTCCCAGTGGACACCGGGACCGAGAACCGAACTTACCAAGCATCCTCTGCGGCTTTCAGTAAATACAGCCTGTCTCCTCCTTTCCTTGTTCCCCTTGGTTGGGACTGATTTGACTCTTAGGAAGAAAGGAAAGGGAACTTTTAAAAACTGACATTATAAGATATTGTTTTAAGAGGTTCTCCTACCCACACAAAAAATTGACCTTCCTCTTACAGAAAAGGTCATCCTCTTTGATCATGTACCCAGCTTTGGGGAGACCCGAAGCAGTGAGGGAGGGCAAAGGAAGTATGCACCTGGCCAACAAGTTTGATTAGGGAAGAGCTGTTACTGCATTTCAGGGGAAAGAACAGAGGGCACATTTGAAGGTCAGTGGACCTTTGGACAGAGAAGGCTCCTCTAGCACAGCATTTCTCAGCCTTGCCACTATGGACAATCTGGACTAGATAATTCTTTGTTGTGGGGGGCTAACTGGTACGTTGTAGGATGCTTAGAATCCCTGGCCTCGGCTTCCTGGGTGCCAGCAAACTCTCATTACAGCAACCAAAAATATCTCTACAGACATTTCTAAAGATCTCCTGGGGAGGCAGAATTGACCTCTGCATGAGAAACACTCCCCTAGTGGAAGCTACACTGTGGGAGCAAGATATGTACATAGAGTCCTTAGGGGAGACAGAAACCATCTGGCCAGATTGGTTACATTCATTTTGAGATTCAGTGGGGTGACTCATGGTTTCACCTTCACACCTGATTTTTTTTTAAATTTTTATTTATTTATGATAGTCACACAAAGAGAGAGAGAGAGAGGCAGAGACATAGGCAGAGGGAGAAGCAGGCTCCATGCACTGGGAGCCCGACGTGGGATTCGATCCCGGGTCTCCAGGATCGTGCCCTGGGCCAAAGGCAGGCGCTAAACCGCTACGCCACCCAGGGATCCCTCACACCTGATTTTTTAATATGAGAAAGCTCAACTGGGTAATGAGGACCAATGTTTAGAAGTTACTGAGTGGCATTTTGACTCCACAGGAGACTTTATGCCTTGTTCGTCCTATCCAAAAGAGGCATAGCTGGCTTTGGATTAGGGGGAGTGCTTATTTCTTAAGTTGTGCCAGCAGGGGTTTGACATACCCTTAGAAGGATGTTGCAGACTAAGCCTGATAGTCTGTGGTTCAGTAAATTATTAATCTATTAAACAGATTAGAAGAATATGCTGCATTTTTTTCTTTTAAAATATCCAGTGTTATTTTCTCCTTAGTTACCATTACCCCTAGATGTCAACATCAACTTATATTTAAACAACATAACTCTCACATGTTAGAGGATTTGCTTTCGTAATAACTCCCTCTCTGTGGTCTCTAATCTACACTAGAGTCCTATTATTATGGTGGATTTTTATTCAAGTTTAAAGCTGAAGCTCAGAAAGGTAATATGTCCAATGCCTTCTAAGTAGCAAGCAGCATAACCAAAAAGAATCACTCAGGTTAAGTTTACTGACTTTTTTTCATGAGATTAATTTTATTCATTAAAAGAGGGATGTCAATAGTAGGGAGTTTTTCCAGGTACCTCAAGTGGAATGGAATGAACATATACATAAACAGGCTTGTACATATATATTTTCTCTTAAATCCACACATAGGGTTGTAGGTGCATAGAGACACACCTACTGTAGCGAAACAGAAAGAGGCCTGGAGACCAAAAGAGTTGGATTCTAGACTTAGTTCTGTATAACCACAGATAATTTGGATAATTTGTGTCCATGATTTGGACCTAGGTTTTTCCAACTGTAAAATGAAGGGGCTGGACTAGGTCATTTTAAGATTCTCTCTAGCTTTTAGACTCCTGATTCTGTCACCTTGGTGCTGTGTACTCAATACTCACGACCCCAGCTGGGACTTCCTTTCTAGGGTGCCCATAGTTGACCAACTAGCCTTCACTCACGTATCTCCAGGGTACTCATTCCCTCCATACAACCCTTTCTACGGTGAGACTGTCTGAATCGTAGGCAGCTTTGCTTTCTCCTTTGTGGAAATCTTCCTGAAGTCCCATCGAAATGTTCAGTAGCTACTCCCACTGTCCTCTCACAAGCTATCACAGTTCCTGGAAAGGACCGAATTATACCCATTCTTTAGTCATGTATGAACCTGTGCAATTGTAAAATAGAAGTGAGCTCAACTGACCCTCCCCCATCCACCAGGGTTCCTCCCAGCATACAGATTTTGTGGCTTCTAATGCCATAGAAAATTCAGGGTAATTTGACAAATTCAGTTCAATTTTACTCACACTTGCTAAGCTTGTTTGTAATTAGGTCTCCCTCCGACTTATTCCATACTCTCTTGTTCAGCTACCACCAAGGAGACTTGGGGGTCAAGGCAAGACTCAGACATAGAGCTTTGTTCAGACATGTAAATCTGATGGTCAATAAACCGATTAGTCTAAAAGGCATCCTTGATGTGAGGATCAATGCCTTTGAAGGTGGTAGGGGCTCTCCAACTGAAAAAGATTCATAATAGTGCAGAAGGATTGAAGAGAGGGCTAAAACAGTTTTATTTCACTAATGTATACACTCTATTTATTATCCTGTTTGATGGAGCCTAAAATTATAGTTAGGAACCTGAGAGAGAGAATGGGGCCTCATAAACAAAGCCTCTTTCATTAGGCAGAGCTAGGACTTCTAGTGATCTAATTCCTTTTTTCTGAGTCTAAGTTCATTTGAGCAAAATCAGTGATTTTTTTTTGTTTTGTTTTGTTTTGTTTTTGCATCCAGCTCAACAGCTTCTTTTACTTAGATGCAGAGTAATAAATTGTAAAATTTTGTATTACCCAAGGTAGCCCAGGCTCCAGCCCTGGGGAATTTCTAATCCTCAGTGGAATGGACAGGACCACCATTCAGTTACAGAAAGTCCTCTGCAATGATTTTCTCATAAAAGTCTCACTGAAATACTCAGAGACTTAGAACACCAGCATGAGAATGGCCTTTCTATTATCTAGTCCAAATGAGGGTATTCCTGAGAGAAGAATTGACCTGGCTCACTGACAGAGCCCAGGCTAGGGGCCCAGGCAATTTCTGCAGCCTCCTGACCCAGATGGAAACCTTGAGAACCTTTGTAGTTGGAGGAAGGAGCACTGAGTCCTGAGTCCAGCAAGCAGTTACACTATTCTCAGCCATCTATTCGTCATCTTATCTGTGAAACATTTGTGTTGGGCTTAATGATCTCTAAGGTGTTCTCTAGCTCTGCAGTTCTGCTTCTCCCATCTTATACTGTCTGGACAAACAAGCAGGGCCTTCTGCAGCATCATCTTTTTGGCTGCCAAGGGCATTTTGGCTGCTGATTTGTATTCTGAGTATGTGGGTATCTCATTTCATAACATGAGGAAAGGGAAACATTCTCAGACAAAGTTATTCTTAGATGTGGAAACCAAATTCTCCTGCAGCCTCTTGGAGCTTTTTGATTTTCCTCAGAGAGATAACCTTAAAACTTTGTAAGATGATTGTCCTTGTGGCATAGAGGGGTAGTGCAGGCTTCTCCTGGGAATAAAAACTCCAGAGCACATTCTCGGGAAGCATAAAGGAAATATGCCAGCATTGTTGGCTTGTTAACTTTAAAGAATCGTGAAGTCATGGTATTTTAAACCATACGGTTTCAGAATCTTAGAATCCTGGAGTCTGTGTTCCAAGTTGAATCACATCATGGAAGTCACAGTTGAACCGCTCTATTGTAATCTTGCAGACCAGTCTCCGCTTGCACATCCCCAGGACAGGAAGCTTACTATTTCTCTATAGAGCGAGCGAGAGAGAAAAGAGTAATAGCTCACCTTTATGAAGTGCTTTAATGGGTCAGGCACTATTCTGAGGGCTTTGCAATTATTAATAAATGTGTAACCCTATAAAGTAGGTATTGTTGTTATCCCCATTTTACAGATGATGAGACTGCTGTAGTCTATAGCTATTAAATAGCAGGGCTAGGGTTTGGACCCACATAGCACATTACTCTGTGCTGTATAGCTTTCAGAGCAGGCATCTTAGGTTCAGGAGTGTCCTACCCTTCTGCATAGAAAAGAGATGCTCTCCATTCTAGCAGGATTCCTCATACTTATTTAATTCCTTAAATCAGGAGTCAGCAACCTTCCTTATAGAGGGCTAAATATTAAATATTGTAGGCTTCTCAGGCCATATGATCTCTGTCATAACTATCATGGTAGCCGGAAAGCAGCCATAGTTGATAAATGAATGGGCAAGGCCATGTTACAGTGAAACTTTACTTACCAAAATAAGCTACAATTACAAAAAATTATAGTTTGCATGATTGATTGATTGAAGTTTATTTATTTTTAGTAATCTCTGCACCCAGTGTGGGGCTCAAACCCACAACCCTGAGATCCAGAGTCACATGCTCTTCCAGCTGAGCCAGCCAGGCACCCCTGTAGTTTATGTGTTTTCGATATTGAGAGCATGAATAAAAGATTTGTTAATAAATAAATTTGGAAATAGTGTCCTGCATATCCTTGCCTTGGAGATTCATAGTTCATCCTGTCATTTTAAAACTTCTCAGGGTCATAGAATGAAAAACAAAGCTATTTATCTCTGTTCTGCATTGCTGCTATTCTTCTTTTTGTTCTTGTTTTTTTAAATGATTAAACTCCCTCAGAATTATATAGTCCATTGTACAGTCTTGGGACATGCCCATGTTGAGAACTCCCTTTGTTTTACAGATGAGCTGTGCCTCCAAGATGAAGTACCCCTCAGATGGCTCCTTTTACATGTCACAAACCTAGATTTCCTGTCTTCCCCCACAATATCTGCTTTACCTGCTGTAACCACATATCATACATAATTAGCACCACAGTCTAGAAACTTGGAGGAATCTCCATACTTCTCTCAGCTGACTCATACCTCCACATCTAGTTTCTAGTTCTTCACAATGCTACCTTCTCATGATTTTATTCTTTCCACTTCATCCTCATGGCTCCTTATTTCCCAAGTGTATTTGATCATAAAACCAGTTTTCCATGGAATAAATTATGGATCTGAAGGAGGGGGCAGTAAATGACATGATTTCAGGGAAGAGGACAGGACCTTTTGTGACAACCAAATAGCAGCTCTCCTATCCTACTTGAGTACCTCATCAGGGGCTGGGGGATGCCAAGCCCGGGCTATGGACTGAGAGAGATTTGTGACCTTATGGTAGCTTCCTTTTACTTAGGGTTAAGGTAGAAGAGACTCAGGATCTTTTTTTAAAAAATGGGATTTTAGTTCAGGAAGAGATCTTCATTCTTAGCCTTCTGTTTCAACAAAATAGGAAACCAAGGCCCAGAGACTTGGCAGCAAATTGGAAGAAAGCCTGAACTGAAGCCTAGATCTGTTCTCTTCCAATAAAGCACCCCTCTCTACTCTGCCCCCCAGTCTCTTCTTGCAGAATCAGCCCCATGTTGCTGACAAAGTCCTTGGTGAGTGTCCTGCAGGTAGAAGAGCTGAGTTGAAGCCAGGAGAAGCTCAGTGATGTGCCAGGCAGACCAAGCCAGAATGAGCAGCACAGAAGAAGCTCCAGCAATACCCCGTTGGAGATCAGAAACCAAGGTCTCCTGGCACTGGCATTTCAACTCCTACAGAAGTTTCTTAAAACACTTGCTCTTTCTGAGCCCCTTGTATAAAGTAAGAGAGTTGGGGGTCTCTTGATGATCACTTGGTTTCCACAGAATCATTTCATTTTGTATTCTAGAAGTACATAGCCTTATTCCTTTTTTTTTTTAAATCCTTTTTTTTTTTAATTTTTATTTATTTATGATAGTCACTCACAGAGAGAGAGAGAGAGGCAGAGACACAGGCAGAGGGAGAAGCAGGCTCCATGCACCGGGGGCCCGACGTGGGATTCGATCCCGGGTCTCCAGGATCGCGCCCTGGGCCAAAGGCAGGCGCCAAACCGCTGCGCCACCCAGGGATCCCACATAGCCTTATTCCTGAGTGATTTATGTTTCAGGTTTTGCTATGAACATATGATCTACTTTCCAGAAGATTCAAAGGCAGCACAGTTTGATTGAATGGCTGATTGTGAACTGCCTGGGGCCCAGATCCCAGGTTGATGTGATTTTTGTGACCCCTGACTTGAGGCATTCAGGCAGAGGGGGTCCTCCCCTGAGCCCCAGGATTGGAGGAAAGGCTGGCTCTGTAGAGCATAGTTTTGTTTTGTTTTGTTTTGTTTTGTTTTGTTTTGTTTTTTTAGCATCTCAGAAGATGAGGATCTCTGAGTGGTGTTTTCTGTGGGCTTTTCACCTTAAAAACATGTCAGGGAGGAAGGAGAATATGGTAGAGAGAAGTCCAAAAAGAGAGAGATACAAGGAGTCAAAGAATAAGGGGGGAAACAAAAGAGAACCAGCAGCAGAAGATCTCCTGGGCTGGTGAAGAAGGAGACAGAAAAGCAGGAAAACGGTACCATAAAGAGCAAGTGGGCAGAGGGTCTCTGGGCCGTCTGTGCACATGTGCCTGTCTCCCGGTACAGAGTCCCAGACTCTCTGAGCTACAGGGGTCTCTTAAGAGATCAACTGGTTCCAGCCTCTTATTTTATAGACCATGCCCCTGAGAACCAAAGAAATAAAAGATGCCAGAATCACTCATGCAGCCCTGTGCACCAGGACTGAGGGAGCTGCCTCTGGGCCTAGGGCTCTCTAAGGAGAGCCCTGTTCTCTGTCTGTCCTCATCTGTGTTTCCTGCCTGAAATCAGCCAATCCTTGTCCGGGTAGTCATGACTAGGACCTGCTGCCTTCCAGCAATGCTGTTCTGTCAACTAATTGGAAGTCTTTCTTATTGCCTTGGTACAGGATATACTGCGGGGACACCATACAAGGTCCCACCGACCCAGAGTAATACTGCTCCGCCCCCCTACTCCCCATCACCCAACCCCTATCAGACGGCCATGTATCCAATCAGAAGTGCCTACCCCCAGCAGAATCTGTATGCCCAGGTAGGTGCATGTGGAAGCCTGGGCCAACTTCTCCTTCAGGTAAAGGAGCCACCAGCCTAGGTGGGGTGGGGGTGGGTGAGTAAGGGAGGGAAGGCAAGTTCATGGCTCTGGCCAGTTGTCACTGTTGTATCATGGAAACAATAACCCTGTAGTCTATATACTCCTTCACCCCACCTCAGCTCTTGGAGGGGTGACACATGAAGTCATTTAGATTAACGGAGCCTAGAATGTCAGAGGAGCAAGGGCCCCTGGAGATCACCTAAGATGCTCGATTCCTTTTCATGCAAGTGGGGAAGCTTAGACCCAGAGAGGAGAATGACTTGTCCAAGGTCACACAGGGAGATACTGGTTGAGTCAGGATGAGACCTAATGTGTCTTGTTTCTCTCCCTAACCCCCACATCTACCCCTTCCTTGATAAAGTCCGTGAGCCAAACAGGGAGTAGGTAAGTGCTCAAACTTTTACCAGTTCACTGTGTGATCTTGAGTAAGTTATTCTCTCTCTCAGTGCCTTTGTGTCCCCATCTGGGCTCCTTCAGCTAGAGAATGTGTGTACTCTGAGGGCATGGCTATCACGGGGACTATATGAGGCCCCAGCATGCCCATGGCACATTTTTGGGGAATGACAATTCTATGTGAGGTTTATTTAAGTAGTGAGGAGAACACTTTGATTTAAAAAAACAGCTACGTTCTAGAGTAGAATGTGAAACTTTTAAAAGATACAACAATAGGCTTGAGATGGATTTTTCTTGTTTGTGGTAAGCTGCTTTGCACTATGTTCTCAGACCTCTGAGATTATAAACTCATATTCTGAAGCTCCTATCATTAGTTAGTAGAGACATTTGAGAAGCTCTGGATTAAGATGATCCAGGGGCCTGTGTCTACTGCCCACAGAGGTCAGCAGGCCCACAGGCCAGGCTGCTTCCTGCTGGCACCGCCATGTGAAGTGGGAAATCATCTCAGACCACTGTCTCCAGCCTCACTTCTTTGCCTAAAGAGAAATAGTAAGAGACATCTGAGGAGGTGCATTTGTGACAGTTCCCAATAGGTGAGATGGCAGTACTCACACCAATGTGATCGTCCCACTAGTCATGCTTCATGTGCATGCACACAGTGGTCTGGATTCACCAGCCCCATCCATCCCTGCCTTTACTTTTTAGGCAGCTGGCAGAAACACTGCAATGAGACACAAACGTTTTAAAATGTTAAAGTTGGGGCTTTTACCCCATTAGATCACCATAGCAGCCTTAGGAGCAAGGCAGGATAGGTTTGGAGCCTTATTTTTCATAGAGAAGCTGAGGCTGAAACTGAATTGTCCGCAGTCATGTAGGAAGACAGCTGGAACCCAAACCTTGAGTTCCTGGGCCCATGCTTCTCTGAGCCCATCCCATAAGGTCTGGGAAGAACAGGCTCCCCTCCTTTCTCCTCTCTCCATTTCCTATCCCACTTCTCCAAAAGCCTGTGTGACCTCAGCCTTTTTTCTCCCAGGGAGCCTACTATACACAGCCAGTGTACGCTGCCCAGCCCCATGTCATCCACCACACCACGGTTGTCCAGCCCAACAGCATTCCCTCTGCCATCTACCCGGCGCCTGTTGCTGCCCCCAGGACCAATGGTGTGGCCATGGGTATGGTGGCTGGCACCACCATGGCAATGTCAGCAGGTGAGGGCAGTGTCTATATCAGTGTCTGTCCCCCTTCCCCTGAAACTCGTGACAGACTGGAGAACACAGTCATGGAATCGAGTGTAGCATAGCATGAGAAATTCTCTGCTGGGGGGGTTCTAGAAACCCTGTCCACAGGGATGAGGAAGATTTCACTAAGAAGGACATATTGAGCTTAGTCTTAAAGGGGGAACAGAAGCTAACCAGAGGGATGGGAAAGAGAAGAGCAGTCCAGGTGGAAAGAAGATGAGCATGACATGTTCACAGAATGGAAATGGTCCAAGGCCCTTGGAAAATAGGGGCATAGAATTGGAAGGGCAGCTAGAGCAGTCAGCAAAGCTAAAGAGGAAAGGCACAAATACTTTTAGGTAATGGGGAGCTGGCATGGTTAGATGGAAGAGGCTGGAAGCAGGTAGGTCAGTGGGAAGGATGATGGTACTAGGACTCTGGTTCCAGAAAGGAGGGCACAGGGCAATGTTATTTAGCAGGCAGGAGCTTAAGACCCTATCCAATAATTAATTGTAAGGCCTGGAGGACCCCTTCTCCATTTCTGGCTTCTCCAGAAATCACACCAGAGCCCTGTCCATCTGGAACCTTGAGGATGAGGTGAAGATGCCACAGGAATAGCAGGTTTAGGGAAGTCTCTGGATGTGCTGACATTCAGAAGAAAAGCATAAGATGACAAGACGGCTATGAATAACCTTTAGTGACCCAACTTTTAAAGATTCACTTGAAGGAATAGAGTATAAGTGGTCTAGTGGGTGAGAGGTGGGAGTTGGGATTTTAGTCTTCCCCTAATGTAAGGGGTTATTGAGGCCTCATTCCCCAGATCAGGTCAGCAAGTTATCTGCTTGGTGCCAGCCTTGTTGTTCTGGTCCTGGGGATCAGTTACTGATAGATAGATCAGACCAGAGCCCTGCCTTTAGGAACAGCAGGGCTAGTGGTAAATACAGCCATATAAACCAGCAATTTCCACTCAGTAGAATAGGAGCATACAAAGAGTAAAAGGAGGCCACTGAAGATGAGTGTCCTGGAGCATCAGCAAAACTTGCCCTAAAGAGATGAAGCCTGGCAAGGTGGGAGGGGCGGGCAGCAGTTTCTGAGCAGGTGGGGAGGTGGGGGGTCCAGATTGGGGAGCAGCTGTGTGAAAGACCATGGCTTCATCCTCTTCATCCCAGTGCCCTGGAATGGCCTCATTGGATTGACTGTTCTCTCTGGATGCTCAGGTACCCTGCTGACTGCACCCCAGCATACTGCGATTGGGGCACACCCTGTCTCCATGCCAACATACAGGGCCCAAGGGACCCCTGCGTACAGCTATGTGCCCCCGCACTGGTAAAGCCTGCAGCCTGTCCAAGTGAGTGGGGCCCGGGCTGGGAGAGGTAGGAGGATGACCCAGTACCAGAACTGCCCCTAGCAAAGCCCCTTGTTTGGTCTGCACAGGTGTCCACAGAGGCCAGTGACAGTTGCTTCCTGCTCCACATTCAGTTAATGTCACTCTTAACGATTGCTACGGCTTTACCTATATTCTAGATACTTGACATGTTATCTCATAATCCTTATGGTAGCTCTGTGAAAAGAGGATTATTACCTTTTTTTTTTTTTTTTTTTTTTTTTACAAATAAATACATAGTTCTGCATCACTTAGCCAGTAGAAACTAAGGTGGAACTTTAACTCCAGTCCTCTAGTACCAAATTCTGTGCTCTTTACTACAGTCTTCAGACTTTAACTCTGGTCCTCATTTTTCAAATGAAATCTTACCTTAATCAGATGTTGGCTATGATGGACTGGATGGAGACCTTGGGCACTGCCCTCCCCCACCAGCTTCCTTACCGCCCTCCACAGCTCATGAGGCAGTGCCACTTAACCACAGGGCTCCTGGGATGTCACTTTTAAATTCTCTGCCCTACTGATCTCCTCTGCTCTCTACCTCCTCTAAGAGCTCTTGGCACTGGATGGGAGCTCTTGGCACTAGGAAAACAGAGGGCTCCATGTAGGGCTCCCACAATGAGGGGAGGGGACCCAGTGGCTTCCTGAAATAGCCTCAGGAATACCTCTGTCACTAATGGCTTTCCCCTTCCTTCCTCAGATCTGGAGTCACACATTGTATGCAACTACTCAAGTCTTACACAGGTGCTGGAGCAGTTCCCTAGCAGCACCACCTCTATTTGCAAGAAGAGACAACGGAAGTGCAAGGGTCACTTTATGCATCTTTAACGGTTTTGGTTTTTATTTTTGGTTTTTGTAAAAGCTGCTTTTTCTAATCTCCTGCCTCTCCAAACTGTCCCCTTCTTTGCCGCTACCCTTCAAGCTCTATCCCCTCCTCCTGACCAGGCACATCCTCTCTGCTCTTCTCTCCTTCCCCAAGTGTCTGGTCCCTGGGGACCCCAGTCTAGCGGCAGGCAGAGAGTGGGGTTTATTGCAATGGTTCAGCTGAAGGTGTGTTTTCCTTTGAAGAGCATAACACATGTGGCCTTCGGGTCCAGGGTAGAAACTCAGAGCTGTTGAACAAGTTACATCTCTGGGGGGATCATTTATTTTTCCTAAGCAAGATTAGTTTAGGACATTACCATGTCCTGACACAAAGGAAATGTCTTCTGAGAACCATCGCAACAGACCAAGAACAGAACCACCTGATTAGGTAGGAGTGTTCATAGCAGCTTAATACCCCAAGTGAGAACCTGGGAAAATCAGATTCTTTCTTTGGGAGAACTTGAGGGAGGGTGGGGGGAGGGGAGGGCACTGTGGGAAGGAAGAGGGGAGAGAGGTGCTTGCCTGCTGGCTTTGGTTTGTAAGGTCTCTGGCCAAATTGTCTGGGCCTGGACCCTCTGATTTGCACAGTGTTGTTAACTGACCTGGCACTTCCTCAAAAGGTAATTTTGACCTCAGACCTGCCAAGCAACTTCAGGGTGATGGTATCCCAGCCTCCCAAAGCCTTGGAAGGCCAGGTGCCCTACGTAATCCACACCTTGGCCCCTGAGCCCACATGGACCCACTCTGATAAGATGCTTCCTCCTAATTAGAGTGGGACCTTATAGCATTTCTCTCCCTTCCCTCTGCCCTTCCAGGTACCAGAGCTCACCAGTCTGTCCCTGGGGCTCTTGGTTACCTTGTGCCATTCACGGCCAAAGTGAAGGAACCACATTCCAGGTGGGTGCTGGCAGCTCTGAAGGTCAGGATAGTGAAGGAAAAGCAATAGCAATAAACATTTCATAGACTCATGGAACTGAAGGGACCTTAGCAATCATCTCATCCATTCCCCTGTTTGATTGATGAGGAAGCTGAGGCCCAGAGAAGACAAAAGGACTTCCCTAAATCTAGCAGTAAATTAGCATTAAATGCAGCCTTCCTACCTAGGGGCATGTTATCCACAAAAATCTACCTAGGGATGGAGTAGCTTTGTTTTGTAAAAAATGAAGTCATCAGCACCCACACCTGGTGAATTCTGGAACAGTCTCTGGGCTTTGGTTTCTGCTCTTTTCCTCCATGGATTCCAAAGTGGGGGTTGACTGGGCAGAGGTCACATGGGGGCAGATGGCAGGAACAGAAATTGCAAATGAGGAAATAGCATTTGGAAATTCTGTGAAGACATCTGGAACTTTCATTCTATACTGGACTCCAGCCCTAGGAGGAGCAAGTGGACTGGCTGAAAAAAGAAAATCTATGCTTTTAGGACAGTAGCCCCTCATCCTGAGAAGAGAAGAGGACAAGGATGAGGCTCAGGAGACATGGGCTGTCATGGGAGAAGAGGGACCCGTGAGTCAGGAAGTGTGGCTAGTCTCAGCCAGGAGCCCACTGTCCCAGCACTGTCCCCTACACCCAGCTTCTGGCTGGGCCAGCAGCCCCTCTGGGGGTGGGGGGTGGGGGGGTGCAGGAACATTTTACTGTACAAAATGGGATCATTGATAACGTTTGGGACTTTTAAATAACCCTTTTCATTTTAAATTCACATATACTTGGACATACCCCTACCCCTACCTCCCATGTCTCCCTTAAAGGAGGAAAAAATCAGGAAACTTGAGCCAGAAGGACCTCAGAGGCTATCTGGCCCTTCCCAGGAAGGCAAAACCCATCAGCATCCAACGGAGAGCCAGGAGTTGGGGGACCCACCTTCTTGGCCTTCCAGGGAACTGCAGGATCAGAAGGAGTAAACTAGCTATTCTAAGGTCTGTTCTAGGGTGCTGATGGGATTTCATTTTAAAACAATTTTCCAGTGTTAATCCATTTTTTGCAAATACCTCCTCCTACTCTCTGGTTTTGTATGGGTGGGTGAAGGTTGTTCTAGATTATGTCATATGTGTTTGGAAAATGCCAAAATAATACTAATGATAATAATAGGAATCCTTTGTATTTGTCAGGCGCCCCGCCCCATAGGTTTCAGAGCGCTTCCAGCCTTTCATTTCCTGGTTCTGAGAGAGAGATGGGGTCAGAGTTCTTACACCCATCAAACAAATGAGGAAACTGGTTTTAGAAGGAAAGGGAACTTGCCAATGTGAGGAGAATGCTAGTATCCTAATAGGCTTCCCTGAACCCTGCTGCCTTTAGGTGATCTGGGTAGAACCAGAGAGGAGGAAAAAGGAGGAGCCCTAGGAATGACCTTGTTACTTTTTAGCTCTTTGTATACCAGTAAGTAAAAACTAACATCTAGTACCTCACAGTTCATGAAGCAATCTCCCATCCATCGTCTGGCTTAACCCTGTGAAATAGATTATTCCTCCCATTTGATCCATGGGGAAACAGAGACTTGGGAAAGCAAAGTGAGCAAGTCAAAGCTCACAAGTGGTAGAGCCACCTGAATCCTGCTTGTCTGCTTTCCTTTGTCTAACTCCACACACAGGCCTGTGAACTGAAGCATCTATGCTCTGCACCCCCTCTTTGCCCTGGTATGTAATCCAGATCAAAGACAGGCCCCAAGGCAAAAACCAGGTACAGAAAGGCTGTGGTCTGGAAGAGCCCAAGTCCAACACCCCTTTTTCAGTATGTTTGGCAGAGCCCCAGTTCTGCTGGCCTCCCCCCTTGCTTTGATGGAGATCCACAAGCCTAGCCAAGCTTGGGGAGTCATTGCAAAGGGAACAAGACCAGGAGAGCAGGGGCAGTAGTGTGCCTCTGGTAGGATGAACATTCCTGGTAGGATCATAGGCATTTTTTGGGTGGCATCCAAAGATGCTGGGTGGGCCCAGTGGTAAAGCTGGACAGAAGGTCAACTGGAAGGGCCCTGCCACTGTGGGAAGGCCAGCATGCCAGAGAGGACAAGGGGTGTGCCCACGGGAGAGTGAGCTACAGCACTGGCACCAGCATGCAAATGCCTCTCCACTCCACTGCCTTCCTGCAGTACTACAGGTCTGGTGGCCAGGTTTAGGGGTATAGGTGGTTCTAGTCAATAACCAGCCCTCTTGGCTTCCCCAATTTCTTCTCTCCTCATTAGCCTGGGGCTGTAGTGCCCCCAAGTGGTCAGAACATAATCTTTTTGCCACCTTTTGGAAAAATTTAATTTTTTTTCTGAGACAGGATAGTTGCTGCAGCTCTTCTCTCTTGGCAATGACCCTAAAGTATATATCCCCTTACGTAAATATTGAACAAGGCCACATATACCTATCCAGCTTTTTTAATGTACAAAATACTTTGACATAGATTGCCAAATCCTCATATTATTGATGGAAAAAACAAAGTCTAAAAAGACTTAGGAGACTTGGGGCACCTTGCTGGATCAGTCGGTAGAGCCTGTGGCTCTTGATCTTGGGGTTATGGGTCCAAGCCCCACACTGGGACTAGTGGGGGGCTTAAAAGACTTGATAAAAATTAAAAGCCAAGATCTCAACTCTTCAAATCGTCTGCTCTTTGAGCTGGCACCTGCTCACCTGCTGGGTCTCAGTGGCAGGCATGAAGAAGGGGTGAGCTACTGCCCAAACAGAGGAAGACTCCCAAGACACCTGGGGAACTCAGTCCTCCAGTGGAAATTTTTAGGAGGTGCCCTAAGGACCTTGGGAATACCAGGAGGATGAGACTTGGCAACAAAAGGCCTAACTTGAACAAAAAGCTTTGGGGTCATGATGCCCAGGAGTGAAGACACATTCAAAGGCAGCCCCAGGTATCTACTATCCATTCAAAGACCCATGTCGCTGGGAAGCCTGTACAGCCATGTTTTCTGAGCCTGGAGAGCCTGCCCACTGTCCAGACCCAGCGAACTGGCACTCCCAGGGGACCTGGTATAGCCCTGAATGGCCAAAAGCACATCTGACTTCAGTTCCTGGGCTTCCTTTTCCCATGGGGGAGAACCAGAGCCAGCTCTTATCCCTAGCCACCCAAATTATTCCAAGTTTGAGGTTTACCTACCCCAGAGAGCTAGGGGCTGCTCCTTTGGAGGGACTTGCTTTGTTCTGAGTGGCATTCAAGAAATGAATCACATGGAGTATAAAAGGGCAGGCCCCTTGGTCCCCCAGCCTGGAGCCCTGCACATCAGATTCCTTGGCTCTGCTCCATGGCCAGAGAAGGAAGGCCTGGTCTTTGTGTGGTCTTGGTTCTAGCAGTCTGGCTGGCTTAATCATTTAGATGGCACCATGGCATCTCTCAGTTGCAGTTGAGTGAAGACAGTGGAAGCTCTGCTTTTCCATCCTGTAATCTGCCGCATTACTGGGGTATGCCCCTCCGGCTGCTTGCCAAGCTTCGGAGTCCAGACAGGGGCAGGTCAGGCGGGGCAGTGGGCAGGTAGGAGGCAGCTCCAGGCCGGTGCACAGCCCCACGGGAATCCAGGCCCAGCCCAACAGCAGGATCACACACAGCAGAGGAAACCCAGCCAGGCTGCCCATCGAACCCTATACTTAAGCCTCGGAGATCAGGCTCCACGGCATGCCAGGGTGACTGCAGGGTTTGTCCTTTTACCCGTGTTCCCCTCTCCTAGAAACTTGTTTCTGAAGTTACATATTACATAGTTCCAGGGCCCAGGCTTCAGAATTCCTGCCTGACAGGCCAGCTTCAACATTCCATAGCCATCCTTGCTTGAGCCAGACTTGGGCCCTATTCCTTCAGTTTCTCCGATGGTTATTTTCTATCTTGAATGCTGTTGAGTCAGCTCAGTGGCCAAGTGAGGAACACAGGAGTTGGGACTGGCTGTCACAAAGCCAGAAAGGGAAACTAGAGCTTTTGTTCCCTGTGGCTGCATCCATAGTCCCAGGGCATTTGTACTGTGGTAGTGAGACCCTGTACCGATCCCAGTTCCTGGTAAAGTGGGTACTCCTCTTCCTGAAGAGAACAGGTATTACAGCTTTGCAGATAAGTACCAGCCCATAGGAGTTAAATGGATGAAATCTTCTTTAGGCCTGACCCCAGCAAGACCAGCATCTCGAGGCTCTAGCCTTCCTCCTCATGCCTGTGAGTCAGGGACAGAGTGGGAATGCCCACAGACCACCTTCTCGGGTTAGCCAGATCATGGGGCTCAGGGGGAGGGGGAGGATCAAGCTCCTCCTTCCCCAAGGGGAGGTAAAGGCAAGGTGTCTAGCAACTTGGAAGTTGTCTATAATGACCTTTAAAGGCCCAACGGTCTGTCCCCATCTCCTGACTAAAAGGCATTGCATCCCTATTTCATATCACATGACAGAGAAACCTGTTCTCGTGGCATGTAACATCCCTGTAAGAGCATTGTATATGATTTTGTATTTTTTAATTCATTTTAATCTACAGGTTGGAATCTAATTTTTAAATTTTATTGGAACTCACATTTTAAAAAGAAAAACATTTAAAATAATAATAAACCTTTGACCGGTGTCTTCCAAGTAGTTTGATCAAAGAACTTATAAAATGTTTTTAAAGCACAGCCTAGAGTGTAAAGATTGGAAAGCCCCATGGCCTCGCCTTGTGTGTATGAAGTGTAAACCTGGTTTTGTTTTGTTGTTTTGGATTCTTTTGGGTTTTTGTTTTGTTTTGTTTTGAAGATCAGATAGTGATCTCTCTGAAAGATTGAAGCCAAGAATTTGTAACTATGATATTTACTGTAAGCTGTAGAACATTCAATAACTATTAAAAAAAAAAAAAGTTTCCAAAAAAAAAAAAAAAAAAAGTCCAGGATGACCAGACTGGTGGTTCTTGGGGCAGGGAGACACAGGCCACCACTTAAGCCAGTGAATCCCCTGGGTTCTTCCCAAGCTGATTCTAAACTTGTTTTCACCAGTCAGGTAATGCCTATGATGATGCATCTCCCTGCAGATAGCAGGTCTTCCTGGGGAAGTAGCCATCAGTCGGCACCTGGACTAAAGGTGGGTGACCCAGGGAGGCCACGAATGAGGAGGGCTGCCATCTCCCAAGGGCCTACCATATGTCCAGCACTGTGCTTTATGGTTGGTAACTCTCAGAATCCCCACAGCCCAGTGGGAGATGAGCCTGTCAAGAGGTGGGCAGCCAAGGAGACGAAGTACCTTGGCCAAGGTCACAGAGCTGGTGAGGTTCAGAGTTGAAGCTCACACTTGGTCTGGCTCCACAGCCCAGGCACCAGATCCCACATTCTGCCCACCCTGGAGGTGGTGTCTATATTAAAGGGTGAATTTGTCAGGTGGGAAACCAAGGGAAAGCTTACAGGTTTGTAGTCACAGAACGGCAGTCAAGGGAGGTCAGGTGGTCTCCATCCTAATAGTCATATGCTGTCAGTTTTCCATCCTGAATCTTGTCCTCCTCTCCCCTCTGGGCAAAGCAGCTGCCCTAGTCCAGGCCCGAGCTTCTTCCCCTGGTCATTGTGGCCACCATTCCCTCCCTGGCCCCAACAATCCACGGTCTTCCAGCCTATAAGTATTCAAACTCCTTGACTGGAGAGAAAACGGAGGCCCCACGAGGCCAGTTGACCTAGCCTGCACTAGAGCTGTAATTACAATTCAGGACTCCTAAGTCTCCCACCCTTTCTGCCACCCCGTGCCCTGTGCCTTTGCAGAATGCCCCCCAGTACCCCCTGCTGTCACCCGACAGGAAGCTCATTCTCCCTCCCTTGTAGTGGAAAGTTCTGTCAGATGTGGGGAGCAGAGGGCACCTCTGGAGAAAGTGTCACAGCACTTGCTCCAGGTCACAGGGCCAGGAGCAGGCAGGGAGGTAGAGATCTGGACACCTGTCCTCACTATTCCGGTCCTTGGGGTGAGGGGTGGAGTAAGGAGAAGTCAAACTCTGAACTCCCCTCAGCCCCGTGCTGCAGCCTGTCTTCCAGCTTCCAGGGCAGCCAAGATTCAGAGGGGAAGTCTAGGAGAGGACAAGCCAGAAAAGGCCAAGAGCATTGGATATACCCCTACCTGATCCCTCGGCAACTCATCCCATCCTTTTGGGAGCTAGGCCCAAGGGACAGGTGAAGAAATCTAAGCCAAAGTCCTAGTTTTACCTTCTAGCAGACAATGAGGGGTAAGGGGCAGTGCTGGAGGGGAGCTGTGCTTATTACCCAGGGCCCAGCACCAAGGTGAGGATTCTCTTACCTGGCCTGGGAAGCCTCAGTCTCCACAGCAAGATGGCATTTGGAGTCCACAATCTAGCCTTCCCCTTGGAAAGGAGGCCAGCGATAGGAGGGACCACCTCCCACCCCATCTACCCCAGGGCATTGGCTCTTGCTGTCTCATCATCTTGGTGTGTCATCCAAGTCCTGGGTGAAGTGGGGTTGGTTGGCTGAGGGGACAGCCAAATTTAAGAAACCAAACCTTGAGATGGAGCTAACGGTCGGCAAATAGGGACACCAAATAAGACAACCCTGGCAGCCCAAGGGAACATTTAAGAGTGCTGATGACACCTACTAGTTTCCTGCAACAGACATCCTGTTCTAGACTTTGGCAACCTTTGGTGCTCTAGAAAATTCCTCCTGATGTGCAGCCTGCCTCCTTTCCTGCACACTTCAGAAGCCTGTGAGAGAGAAGACTGCCCTGGAGAAGCAAGAGGTAGGGAGAGAGCAAATCTCAAGGCACATCTGCCCAACTTCTCTGGGCAGGAGTTTTTTGTGCTGCTGCTGGGCCAGGCCCCTGCCCATGGCTTCCTCACAGGAGGAAGCCTCTACCCACGGACAAGATGGTGATCTCCCCCCAGTGGTGATCTCCCCCCAGTGGCATCCTACCACGCCTCAGCCTTGGAGAGCCGGCCAGGTTGGGCAGGAGTCTGGGAGTGGGCGTGGCAGCAGCTATGGCCTCAGGGGACAGCAGCACCTTAGGCCACTTCTGGCTACAAGAGGGGCAGCAGAGGCCAGAGAGTGAGCTGGGCCTCCAGTAGTGCTAGCCCAACAGCCACCCTCCCCCAGCTGCAGCAGGCCTAGGACCCCCACAGGCACCTCCCCAGGCTCCCTCAAGCATCAGTAGCTGGTTCCTCAGCCTCTCCCACTAGCATTTAAATGTGTCTCCTTCCATCTTTAAAAAATATACCAAATACCCAGTGAACCCAAATTAAACCCTTTTCTTCCTGACACCTAAATCCCCACCCGCTATTTTGTGGCCCAGTGAGGCTTCTGCAGGGAGGTCAGTCCACTCAGACCTGGTCCTGCTCTGTCTCCCCATGTCCCTGTGTCCATTGACCAGGGGCTATGGCAGTCCTGACACTTGTGACCTACCCTGCCCCTCCCTCACCTTCCCTCACTTGTAAGGGAGACCACCACCCTAGTCTCCTTCCCACCTCCTGGCAGTGCCCCTGGAACAGCCCAAGAGTGCCCTGAGCTCTCTCAGGTCCAGTCCCGGTATAAATACCTACTTAAGTGCTTCTAGATAGTCTTGTAGCCCAGATCGCCTCTTGAGCACTCCAGGCCTTCACATTCAGATGTAGGAGGGCTGTATCACAGCTATCCCTAACCCCTTGACCCACAACCCATTCGCAAACCCTAGCAGTTCTTAGGAGTCTTTGGTCTCTTGGATTCCACACCCCCACTCCCCCCCGCCCACCTCCACTGTCTCTTGCCTGAACAGCTGGAACAGTTTCCTTGCAGAACTCCTGCTCCATCCTCCACACTGTGGCCAAGAGCAAATGGACCAGTCCTGCTTCTCCCCTTCCTAAATGCTTTTTTTTATGCATCACTGGCATGAAAACAGGGTGACCAAGAGCACCTGTGGCTACCTTCTGTTGCCCACTCCCACTCTGCTCTCCACACAGTTGTCACCTCTGACTACCAGCTTCTCCAGTTTCTTGTAGTTCCCTGGGCCTCTGCACATGCTGTTCCCTGTCTGGCGACCAAGCTTCCACGTCCTCTAGAGCTGTGCTGTCCAAGACAGGAGCCACTGGCCATATGTGGCTATGGAGCCCTTCAATATGCTAGTTCATTATTAAGATGTGCTTTATAAAATACTAGATTTCAAAGCAAAAAGTTAATGGCTCATCCATAATTTTTATACTGACTTTATATTAAAATGAAAATATTTTAGATATATTGGCTTAAATACATTATTGATAACTTTCATGTTTTACTTTTTAAAACCTGGCTATTAGAAAATTTGAAATTACATATGTGGTGTGTACTATCCATTGGACAGCACTGCTTCTAGGAGCTTCAGTGAGAACCCAGCGAGGTGAGGGACCTCCTCCAGCCCCACCTCACATGCTGCCCCATGCCCACCCACCACAGAGCTGGCACCGCAGGGGTAGGGATGGCCTGTCCCACACATGGTACCCGACACACAGATATTTGGTGAATGGACGGGTGACCTGGGAAGAGGCACAGGGAAAGAAGCTCCTCGTGACACCACTTTCCCACCTTTTATTATCCAATAAATGGATGAGAATGTAGACAGGACAGGACAACAGCAAATTTTCAATAAATAAGAGAAATTGGGATGGCAGTGGGCCCCATGCCTGCATGGCCCCACATAAATAACCAGGTTGCTGAGCTAGAGTGGACATAGGAACTGAGCTGGGCAGTCGCCTGCACTGCCCAGGCTGGGAACAGACACACCAACCCCACAGGGACACAGAAACCACGGAGGCCAGAGGTGCCTCTCCAGCCCCACACATGCCTCTCCCTGAAAGCTCCTGAGATCTTGGGGTGGCTATGCAGGCTGGCACCCTGTATCACAGCCCTGCCCAGGTCAAGACTGTTCCAATTTCAATAAAAATAGTGGGGGAGGGCGCAGCAGATACATGCATCAAGCCCCTTCTGTAGGCAGAGCCAGAGACAGGCAGCCCCATGGGGGCCTGAAGGCACAGGCCCTGGAAGCCGCAAAAATGGGGCCAGATAAAGCTACTAATGGGAGGGGTGGCAAAGACTCCAGCTCTCTCTGCACAAGACCCAGGCCAGAGCCTGCAAGGACTGGAGAAGCCTTGGGACTAAAGAGATCTTTCTCTCCCCACTTCCTGGTCAGAACAACTATAACCAGGTGATGGCCAGGGGTTTGCCCACGATTAGAACCAGGGAACCCAGTGTCCAACCCAGTCTTGTTGCTGCCCCTTCCCTTTACAGGGCCTGCCAGAAGAGGAGGGAGAGGTCCATGCTAGGGCCCTGTACAGAGGCAGGGGCAGTTGACTACCAAGGTATGGGGCCAGGGGTGCCAGGCAGAGGACCCCTTCCCATAGCCAAGGCCTAGCGACCTGGTGGTACAGAGGATCCTGCAGGGGCGTAGGGGCAGGGGCAAGGGAGGGGCTCTGAACCTGCTCCTGCACACAGCACCCGCCGGCTGGCCTGCCTCTTCACAGGGGTGGGTGATCCCACCGCCAGGCCTTGGCCTTTGTTGTTCTGTCTGCTGGACCATTGCTTCTTGATCCTCACAGGCTGGGCTGCAGTTCTACCTCCTCCAGGAAGCCTTCAGAACCTCCCAGGGCAGGGCTGCAGCGTCCTCAGATGAGGCCGACCATCAGATAACCAGGTTGCTCTCACTTAGCCGGACCACATAGCGGTTCTCCTGGGAGACGGGAGTAAGGGGTTAGATCCGAGTCAGGGGGCTTCTGGGCTCCAGGAAAGTGGCCCCTGGCCCACGCAAGTCAGGGTTGGCCCAGGTGCCAACAGACACTCTCCCCTTCTGGCCCTCACCTCAGCCTTGTTCTCTGCTGGGGGCTTCAGCCACTTAGTATGGCTTCCACCACTTCCCAGCAGTGCCCGCTGCTCAGTGGGGAGGCCGGGTTGTGGGGAATCTGGGAGATCACCCCCTGAGGGTCCAGCCTCCGTGATAGTCTTCAACTCAGAGGCTGCTGAACTTGACCGTTGCTCCGGAATTCGGGCCACTCGGAACCTGTGAGGAGTGGTGGTGCCATAACCCGCCCCCTCTGGGTTCATTAAAGAGAAAACCCTGGGTATAGAAAGGGCAGTGGCTGCTAGGGTCCCACACCAAGTTCATGGATCAGAGCCTGAGCCCTTCCTATACCCTCCTACCCACAGATAAGCCCCCAAGCGCCCCCATCCTAGGTTGTAGGTAAACAGTCCTTTGGCTTGAGGGGCCCACAGTGGGATGGCTGGAGGCTAGGACCCTGCCCCAGGGCCTAAGGGCTCATGTGAGACATAGCAGAGCTGGGAAGACCAGACTTCTCCCTGGTCTCCCCACCCCTCTTCTGCCCAGAGGCCTACTGAGGCCAGAGAGGGGCCCTCACTGAACACAATGTTCAGGGCTCAAATAGGGTCCCTTATACCCCCACCCTGGGTATAAGGTCTCTCCCTGACCCTCCTGTGCTTGTGCCCACCTCACCTGCCCACAGACAAGATGGTGATCTCGCCCTGGCGTCCTGCCTTGGCCCCAGCCTTGGGAGCCCTGGCCGGGTTGGGCAGGACTCTGGGAGTGGGGGTAGTGGCAGCTGCGGCCTCAGGGGACAGCAGCACCTCGGGCCACTTCTTCTGGCTACAACGGGAGCAGCAGGGGCCAGAGAGTGAGGCCAGGCCCTGCACGGTGTGGAGGTGGTGGCGATGTGGGCAGATGTGTGTCATGCTGGGAGGACCCGGTGGCAGCCTGCAGAGGGCACAGTGGGGAGCGGTCACCAGGGCAGGCCAGTGCCAGGGGGTCCCAGGAGGTAGGAAGGGGAACCAGGGTACCATGGAGGGAACACAGCCAAGTGGGAACTCCCCAAGGAAGCAGGCTGATTACATAAGGGTTTGGGGCACCTGCCCACTCACCTGGGCACAGGCCTGTGGCTGGTCTGCACCAGCTGTTTGCTGTGATACTCCTTCAGCAGCTCCTCCAGGGCCGCCGCATTCTCTGTGGGCAGCTGCAGTCAGAAGCCGCTCTCGGCCAGGAGGGGCACTCCCCACGTGCTCCACACCCACCCCAGCCAACAGAGCGCCTTTTCCTCCACCTCTCATCAGGCAGGAACAAGAAAAAAAGGGGCAGCGCCCTCAGCAGCTGGCCAGGGAGCACCAGAGGCTGGCCCGGGGCATCCCGAAGGGAGGGGCAGGGAACAGTGGGACCCTGACCCCCACTGCTGCCTCAGTTTCTGGGAGGAGACGGGTCTTCTCCTGGGCCTGGCGACAGGATCAGAGCTTCCTCTCACCTTTCTTCTCCGTGATCAGGCGTACCAGGACCCCAATAGTGTCCTCGTTGGCATCCTCAGCCCGGTAGGCAGGGTTGATCCCTGTGGAAAAACGCAAGAACTGTGATCCTGGGGTTTTTTTTTGGGGGGGGGGGGGGTGTCTGGGCTTGACAGCTATACCAAGATGTGGCAGCAGAGGGCGCCCCAGACCTTCCTATAAGCTGTGCTACAGGCCTGGGGGTTTTATGCACTAGCTGTCCTCCAGGCCTCAGCTCTGGAAGCTCATTATCACCACTTCCTGGGGCGGGGTAGCCTTTCTGGGGCCTGATGTCTCCCCTCCCCAGTTTCAGGGAGCTGTGGGCTTTCTGCCCAGACCCCTGCACAAATCTCTGGCAAACTGCCATTCCAGGCTGATCCACTTCCCTTCACACCACCCTGTACGCGTAGCAGGACCCTTAGGGCCCAAACCCCAAGAGCAAGAGAATGAGCCATGGGACCAATCCTAGGCCAGCAGCAGACAGCTCTTAGGACTTGCACCCAGGCAGCAGCCAGCAGTTAAAGGAAGCCCTAGGCTAGGAAAACACGTGCAGTCCCAGGCAAGAGGGCCTGAGCTGCCATCTTCCTGCCCGCCATAGACTGCAGTGTCAGGAGCCGGGCAGGGCCCTGGGCAGCCTAGGGCAAAGGCACCGGAAGCACCATTTCAGTCCTGACTTGGCCACAAGGCTCTGTGGGCAGTGTATCTGTTTCAGGGACCCCTTGCCCTACTGGCCTTCAGGGGACAGCTGGGCAGGGGAAGAGGTAAGGGGCCAAGGGGCCAAGGGCCCTGGGGTGGGGGCAAGAGGAACATATCTCTCCCTCTGGTTCCAGGACTCCTAACTCAAACCACAGCTCGGAGCTGAAATCTGAGCTCCTTGTGGTGCCCGCTAAGGACAAATGCCCTGCCAGTGGCTCAGGTCAGAGGTCAGCTTGAGTTCCCAGAAGGTGGTCCAACCCTTGAACCACATACACGAAACCACAGCCCCTAAGGAGTCCAGACCCCGACAGCTGGGCAGGGCCTCACCCAGGAGAGAATGGGAGGAGAGAGGAGAGAATGCCCTCTGCTCTGCTCCTGTCATCACCTCAGGCCTCTTCACCTTTCCTTCCACTTGATCACTACAGCCCACAAGCAGCACCTCCAGGAAGCCCTCCTGGTTAGCCCTCTGCAGGTCCCTTCCAGTTAGACCCTCTAGGCCAACAGGTTCCCTCGCACAGCCCCCCAGCTGAGCCAGCCTGGGCCAGTCCGTGCCCCCTGGCCTCCCCCACTCAGACCTCAAGCCGGGCCTCACCGCTGCCTCCACCTCCAGGGCCGGGCCCAACCTCCTTGTGGGCCGTGCAGTGGTAGCCCTTCCGCTTGAGCAGGTTACACACCAGGATGCCCAGCAGCCCCATGAGGCAGAAGACAGGCACGATGGCAATAACCGCATACTGGGCAGCGGTCTCTTCGGGGCCTCCCGCCCGGGTACCATTCCCAGGCTGCCGAGTGTCCCCAGTGCCGGTGGTCCCAGCTGCTACCTCCACACCACGTCGGGCCCGCCGTCCCCGCTCTGAGCACCACAGGATGGAGGCACGGAGGAAAGACAGAGGCAGAGAGACCCAGGGCCCGAGTTAAAGGGGGGGGGGGGCACGAACATGTCCAGAGCCACCTATGGCCACCCTCCATTGTGCTGGGGAAGCAAAGGCCACACCTCACCGGCACCACGTGGTTTTGGCCATTTTATCAGCCTGAGCAAGGCCGCCCCATGCCTCAGGGCAGCTAGGCCCCCAGCCCCCTGGTCCACCCCTCATTCTGGGGTGAACAGACAGCATGAGATCTGGGCACACGAATACCGGATGCCGCCTCCCCGTGGCTAGGTCCATGAGTTAGTTGCCTCAGAAGGTGACAATAGGTGAGAGGTGTGTGTGAGAGGGGATAAGGACAGGAAACAGGATGTTAGCTCCTCAGCACCCCGAACTCCCCCCCCGCACCCCGTGCCCCGAGCTGTGGCTGCCGCCTGCTGGATGGTGTCTGCCACTCGGAAATACGGTGCGCAGACACGCTGCCAGCAGAACAACCGAACACATCCTGCCGGACACCCTCTGGCTGCACACCCTTCCCCGGGCTCAGGATTGAGGGCCCCATTGTCCCAGATGGACCAGTCCTAGCCCCATCTGCCACTCACCATAACAGCTGCGAATACCCAGAGGTGTCCAGGGGCACAGCTGACAGGGGACATGGGTGACCTCTGAAGCAGCAAACCACCTACAGAGAGAGAAAACATCACTGAGGCCCAAAAACTATCCTTAAGAAAGGCTCCTGCCAGGCATACTCAATGACCCACCCCATTTTACAGATGGGAAGACTGAGGCCTGCTCAGGGAGGGGGTGAGGCTGGGACCCTAGGACTCTAAGTCTTGGTCACCTAGCCGTGAGCCCTCACAGCCCCCCCACAGCTCACCCGGGCTGGCAGTCTCCACATAGCGTGTCTTGAGTCGCTGTGCCTGGCTGGGCCTCCAACCTCCCTCGAGGACTGCAGCGGGAATGGGGCTGGCATGGACCAGGGCCCCACGAAGCAGAGAAAGTGCCGGGGGGACAGGATCGGCATAGTGTGCCCTGCCCCAGGTCCTGTGGGAAGGGAAGGGTAAGAACAAAGCCAGGAACCAGGCCTCAGGTCCCCGGGGAGCCAGGCCTGGGGAACCCGCCCCTGGCCTCAACAGTCTTCCTAGGACAGGGCAGGTGGGCAAGGCAAGCTCACCAGGCTGGGCTCCTCCCCAGGTGGGCACTGCCAGGGGGTCGTTGATATCGGAGTGGCCAGAGGCCAAGGCAGCAGCTGGAAGAACAGCAGGCAGGACACACTGAGAGTGCAGAAAGTGCTGGGATGTGGCATCTCTGGGGCCATCTGTCCACCACCCACTTCCTAATGCCCCTAGGAGTGGGGACCACTGACCACTCGGTTTCAGGGACACTCTAATCTCAATCCCTTATGCTGTGAGTAAAACCTGCCTGTCCCATGCCTGCGTAACCGTATCTGCTTCTGGAAAGTGCTGGAAAACCCCAGACAGAGCCAGATCAGGATCTCAAGCCCTCAGGTCCCCGAGTTACACCCATTTCAGCTAACCAGGATGATAAGGAGGAAGGGCTTCCGAATTCCTCTTCTCTCAAGTTCCGTCCGCCTTCCGTCCGCCTGCCACCCTCCCCCCCATCATCCCTGGGGCCAAGTCTGGAGCCAGTGCTTCCTATTCTGGGCCCTCAGAGGAGTATTTGGGGCCACATCCTCAGTGACCTCTCCACACAAAGCCAACCGTTCACACTCGCACACCCACACAGGCCAGGATACATCCCAAGGAAAGGGATCTCAGGATGTAGCGCCCAGCACACTCCACTGAGAGCTCCCTCTGCTCCCCATCCCAGGCCTGAACTACCTGCCCTGAATCTCTCCTGCCGTGGGGAGATCTGCCCCACAACCTGTCTTCCAACTTGGGCCCAGCTTGGGAGAGCAGGCAGGGAGCGGAGCCAGCTGCCCTGGAGGGCAGAGGGAGTATCACACAGGAGGCTCTGGGGCCCTCTGCAGACCCCAGACCTGGCTCCAGCCTGCCAAGCACTGGGAGACCTGCACCCAGAGCTGCATAGGCCAGCAGGTGCTTCCTGCAGAGGAAGAGCCGTGTCACCAGCCCTGGCAAGGCTCCTGGCATGGGGTCCCTGAGCACAGAGGGCTGGGGCACAGGGCTCTGTACTCCTAGATCCCATCCCCAACTCACCACAAAAAGGCAGGACAGGGGCCAGTGTGGCCAGCTCAGCTTCATCCTTGGGCCCACGGAGTCACCAGCCTAGGAGAGGAGGACGTGAGGCTCAGCAGGACGTGAGGCTCAGCAGGACGTGAGGACAGGCAGGCAGCTGCTCTCCTCCCCTCCCGGGGCAGCTTCCAGGACAGGACAAGACCAGGGAATTTGCAAGGTGGTGTTGGGCGGGCAAAACTGGGGTAGTCCGGCCCCTCTTCCCCCACAAACCCGAGTAGAGGTGGGGATGCACTGTGTGGGGCTGGCCTCCCAGAGCAGCAGAGGAGGGGGATAGAGTGCTCTGCCAGGCTTGGGGGGCTTCCCTGAGGAGCAATGGCTTCCTTCCCCTTCCATAAATAGGCAGGTGCTCTGGGAGGAAGGAAGCCCGCATCAGCAGTCCTGGGGGTGGGGGGCGGGGGGAGGAGCTGCGAGGGTGTGCAATCCCCTCACGCCCAGACTGCACCTCATCTCTAGCTCCCAGGCTCCCACCACCTGGACTTCCTAGTGGGTCTTGGTTTTCCCGGCTTCCCTGCCTTCACTCTTGCCATGTCTGCCATGTCCTTTCCCTCAGTCATCAAACACCAACATGAAGTCACCTCTTTCTAGAAACCTCTCTACATTTCCATTTCCCCAAAGCTGAGCCCAAAACTCCTGCAGGTCTCCCTGGGTAGGGAGACACCCCCACCATCACAGTCCTAGTCTCCCTACGTGTCCCACCCCCCACCCAGAGGTCTTCTCCACCAAAGGATGTGGAAGGATGTGCCCAACACTGGGATGGGTCTGAGTGCATCTCTGGGACGGGAGCAGACCTCCTGCTGTCACAGCAGCCAGCATTTGGCCTTTTGTCCTCTCTCGGTCACCTACTGCTGTGTGCCAGGCACTGCCCTTAGCACAGGAAACAGCCTAAGACAGACACTGTCCCTGTCCTCGGGGAGCTCACATCCCTGCTGACCAAGTGACCAGCAGATGAACAGGGACTGTTCCCCTGCCAGGTGGGGGCAAGTGCCAACAACCAATAAGGCAGGGTGAGGGTGCAGAGTGAGAAGGCCACTGGCCTAAGGTAAAGCACCCAGGTTCGGAGTATGGTGTCCTCTGGAGAAAAGCCTCCACCCAGTGGGCAGGTGAGAAGAGCAGGAAGGAAGATTTGGTTTAGACAACAAAAGGGGCTGTGGCAAAACAAAGGAGTCCTGTCGCATGTTTCCGGGGGCCTGCCTTCAGGCCCAGGAGGGTGAAGGGAGCTGGATCTGTCGGGCCTCAGCCACAGGCCATACAGCTTCTGACTCCCAAAGAGAAGCCAAGCCACTGGCTCAAGGCCCCTGCAGATCAAGGGGCTCCCCAATTGGAGCCCAGCCCCATGCCGCCCGACGCCAAGCCCAGTGGGAGAAGCGCAGCCACACGAGAGCCCCTCAGGCCTACACCCTGGCCTTCCCACCTGGAAAAGGAGCCAGAGGAAACTGATCCCCATACACAGACCATGGTGGCAGCAACCAAGGGTTTGAATTACACCACAGGGCAGGGGGCGGGCTGCGGGCACAACACCCCGGGACTCTCCAGGTCACTGGCAGCGGCTCTTGGCCCAAGGCCAGCTAAGGGAAAATGTGGGACAGGAGAAGGTCGGGCCACAGCAGAAAGGCAGTCAGCTCCCAACAGGCTGCATACCCAGACCCATCCCCCGACCCGCCCCCTCCTCTAACTTGGTCACAAGTCTTTCTTTCTAGTTCCTGGCCCAAAAGGTCCTTTCCCTTACCCAGGCAGCTCCCATTCAAGCCCTTCTCCCCATGAAGATGCTTCTTCATAGGATCTAACCCACAGACTTGACCATAAGCTCCCAGACTTCAGGCTGGCCCTACAGGGGCTGGGGTAGGAGTGAACAGAGGCACAACATCCACAGAAGAGAGGGCCCCAGGGCCACCTCGAGCCCAACTGGCACCTACAGGGTGACCCAAACCCACAGGGAAGGGCTGTGCAGCTGCTTACCTCCAGGTAAATGGGGAACTGCGATCTCGAGACTTCCAGGAGGAAAATGGGGGTCTGAAGGCCTAGACTCAAAGCCCGGAAGGGCCCACTCAGGCACATTCAGACACTCGCCGCCTCGCGCCCTGATGCCTTCTAATTATGTGCCTTCTAATTATCCCAAACTGGTACTTACTCCAGTCTGGCCGCCGGAATCTCTGCTGACAGCCGCTCCCCCAGCCCCCACACTCAGCTAGACCGAGCCCCCCAATGGACTGTCCAGTCAGGCAGCCTATGCCAGCCACCCAGAACCCCCTCCATGCATACATCTGCTGCTCTGACCTCCCTCTCTGCACCCCCTTCCCCACAAGGCCTCCAGCATCCAAGCCTAGAAGCCTGGAATCTTGACTGAAAACCAAATTCAGATCAAAGCCCCCTGGCTGGGGGGTGTCCCGGAAGTCTCTAACCCCACCCCTCTGCTCAGTCCTAAGGCCAGGTAGTGTGTGACCTTTCAGAGCCTCCAGGGGGCCTCAGGAAGGCGGCCAAGGCTCACAGCAGGGGGCCTCTTCTCCAGGCCTCCAAAAGCCCCCTGGGGCAGAGGAGGAAGTTGGCCTAGAGGCCACTCCTCCCATAGTCTCCTGGCCTGGGCCTATCCGGTTCTCACTGCCACCAACTCCCTGTGGGACTTGAGCCCCTGCTTCACCTTGAGGGGTCTCAGTGTCCTCATCTGCAAGATGGGGATGCTGCTCTTCCAAGACAAGGCTGCGGGGAAGGTGAAATGAGGTAATAAGCCTAACACTGGTCCTGGGTCGGGTGATTTCCACCCCTTCACTCCCTTCTTCCCTTCAGCACCTCTGGCCCAGGTTTGTAATTAAGTATCTGTTTGCTTACTTGTTTGGCTCTGCTCCCTGCTCCCCACCCCACCCCCACCTCGACAGCAGCAAAGGCAGGGTGTCTGTCTCACTCACCGCAACCCCCACCCCCGCAGTGTCTGGAGCAGGGGCCACCACAGGACAGGCTGGGGTGGGGGGCGGGCTTCCTCACAGGCAGTCCACCCCCACCTCCAAAAATGCCCAAACAATTAGAACCAGAAATTCCCTGGAAGAAAACCAACTAGCAAAGCCAGGACCGACCACTGGGCAGTGGAGCCCCAGGGAGGCACAGCCCCCAGGCCTCAGAGAAAGAGGAAGCTGTGACACTCCCCAGCCCTGGCAACTTCCCCTTTCCCAGAACTGTGGGCCCCAGGCTGGGGCCCTCCTCTCCATGCTCACCTCCAACCTCACTGGGCCTGGCCTCCCAGAGATGGCCCACCTCCCAGAGGTCACTCACCACACCTCGCCCCTGGCCCCCAGTTCAGCCCCGACTGCGGCCTGGGGACCCTCACACTGGGACCTGGCCCCTGGCCCTCTCCCCACCACTCTGCCTCCCTTACCAAGGCAATGGAACCTGCTGCTTCCTCCACCCAGAAACCCTTCCCATCACCTGGCCAACACCTACTCTTCCTTCAGAGCTCAGCTCAGAGCCATATCCTCCTGGAAGCCCCCTCCTGTGTTCATCATCCTTCATGTAACCATCCTGTTTACCCGGCCCGGACCCACCCCCCTTCTCCCCCACCCCACATGCCCAGTGCTCAGCACACAGCCTGGCCCTGGGTAAGGAGTAGGTATATATCAAACTGGGGATAGCTGGGGGACCCACGGGGGGTGGGGGGCAGGGTAGGGGGAGATGTGGTGGGGAGAGCAGGGATCAGCAGAGTGCATAGCTTCCGCCAAGGCTGGGAGGACCCAGAGGCTGGGGGGTGGGGGGGCATTGAAACTGGATCTGAGCTAACCTGGGGTAGAACCATCCTGCTTGGCTCTGCTCTCCTCTGGCTCCGTGGCTGTGGACACTCCCTCTCCCACCAAGACAGAAGGCTGCTGTGAGGCCAAGAAAATTCACCTTAAATACTCAGCATGGAGCCCAGTACAGAATAATCCCTCAATCAGCATTCACTGTGCCTCAGTCTCCCCATGTGTAAATCATGGAGCAGGGAATGGCACAAACTTGACAGGCAGGTGTGAGGCATAAAAGATTCTTCTATATTTACACATAGTGCTTGGCCCAGAGCCTGGTACACAGGAGGTGCTGGATTAGCTGAGGTGAAGGTCTGGGAGGTAGGAGGGTGTAAGAGGGGAGAGAGGTCTGGAAGGATAGGTGGTGGGAGTCCAGGTCACACCAAGACTTGGATGCAAGCTGAGAAGCCTACACTGCCCTCAGGGCCTCTGAGAGACTTGAAGGGTTGGGGGGGGGTATGGAACAACTTGCCTCTCAGAGGGCTCCCCGGGCTGCCTGCCAAGGAGGCAGGACTGGGGAGACAGAGGTGGGAGGCGAGTCTTCACGTGGATCAGGGGTTGGGAGGCAGGTATTTCTGTCTCCCAGCCAGGGGCTCTAGGGCCTGTGGAACCCCCCTGCAGCCTCCAGAGGCTGGAGTTGCCTAGGAACACATCTGGACACAGGCCTTCCTTGGCAGTGGCCGAGACAGAAAGACAAAGGCCGCCCATCAATAGAGAAATCCAGGTTAGCAAGCAACCCAGTGGTTCCCTGGCAACTGGGGCTGAAGTAGGACAGTGTCCACAGTGGGCGGCAGGGAGGGCAGCCAGGCATGCCTCTCTTCCATCCTCCACCCTCACAGGGAAGGCAACTGACCCTCATTCCCTTGGGGTCAGTCTGGTTGCTCCACTCCTCACAGAAGAGATGTGCATCCCTGTTTTACACCCAGGTAAACTGAGGCCACAGGCGATCACTGGTATGGGTCACACAGCCAGTGAGTGGTGATGCAGGGCCAGAGCCCAGGTCTGATTCTGCTGCCCACCTCATGCGCACCCCACTTACCCTGCGCCTAGCCTAGGGCCCAGCATCTAGCAGATGTTCTCCAAGTGTGGTCAACTTGCCAGCAGAGGCTAGGGAGCTAGTGGCACCCAGAAGCGGCTCACTAAGAGGCTATTTACAAAGCACCCAGGTGGGCCCCAGGGAAGGAGGTGCTGCCCCCATTCCCAGGGGCTTCTGGGGCCTCCGGGGTTTCCCTGCATCCATAGTCATTTGCATACTGCCTTAGTCTGTGCCAGCTCCTGCAGGAAAAGGCCCTGGCACCTGTGAAAGGCAGGAAGCCCAGGGAAGGCTGGGAAGAGGTGGCCCCAGGGTGGACAGGGTGGAGGCCAGCTCCTCAGGATGCTGACAGGCAGAGATATAGGGAGGCTATCTCAGGGCCATTCAGTGAGAAGGGCACCCCCATTCCCACCGAGGCCTTGGGCAGCCATGGTCTCCCAGGCCACACCCCTTGGGTAAGGACTCCATGCAGATGCACCCCAAATCCTGCAGCAGGGCCACCAGACAGTGGCAGTTCCCTGGCCCCACTGGGTTCTCCCCCTCCACCTCCAGGCTGCCACAGGCCCTGCGCTTTTAGAGGCTCAGGGAGGTGAGGTGGGCAGGTGGGGCTGAGGGAGCTAATTGGCCCTTGAGGCTAAGAAAAAGCTGAGGTGGCCTGACTGGGCCCATCCAGCTCCTCCCAGTCTGGTGTGGTAGGATGCAAACCCTGCCCCTTCCCTGATCTGAGTCTGGGGCAGGTGGGGGTGGAGGGGGGCACCAAACCACACAGTCGTCTCTGGGGCAGAGCTGGGGCTCCCCAAATCTCCTCACTAAGCACTTACTGCATGCCTCATTCCCATTCCAGGCCTGAAAGATAGGGTCCCAGGTTTCACAAATGAGGAAACTGAGGCTCAGAGAGGCTAAGCAGTACCCTATAAAAACTCAGTCTCAAAGGAGACAAGGTTTACCCACCCAGGAGCAGGGGGCAGATGACAGGCAACCCATGTCCTTGCCACACCAGGCCTGGCATTCCTGCTGCTTCTGCAGGCCCTGCTCTGGCCCCACAGCCAACTGCTCAGCACCCTGGCTTCCTGCAGGGAGCCGGGGAGGGCTGGAGGACACCCCACTGCCCACCCACTCATGTTACTGCTACGTCTTCCTCCGAGAAGCCACCTTTGCCTCAGATCCCAGCGGCACAGCTGGTACCGTTCGCCAACATGTCAGGTCAGCCCAGAGTCCACGTAGCATAAGCCCTACCCCATCACCCCCACTGGGTGAGACTTCCAAGAGACTGAGGGGAGCTCACAGGCCCAGGCTGCCCTGTCCTCTAGACTTGGGGTGCCGGGGGAAGAGACCCCTCTCCCCAGGAATCCCAGGCCAGGCCCTAACCAATGGCGACGGAGGGCTGGGCTCAGCACAGGCGGGAGGCTGGGCTGCTGGGCTGCTGGGCTCCCGGGCTCCCGGGCTCCCGGGCTCCCGGGCTCCCGGGCTCCCGAGCAGTCACTCCTGGGTTTAAGCTCTGGCTCGTCACTTAGCTCTGTAACCTTGGGCTACCGGGTTCTCCTCTGCAAACAAGGGCTCTGGCCCCTGCCTTCAGAGATGCTGCGGGGATAAGTGGAGCCACTATAAACAGTGCGGACCAGGGCCTGGCCTGACAACCTCTCCTATTAGTTCTCACCACAGCCCACAAGGGCCAGAGGAAGAGCCAAGCTCAGAATTAAGCAGCATCCAGCCAAGGTCATCCAGCGGCTTGGAGTAAGCAAGGGTGCTTTGGGGAACCCAACATCAGTCCCAGCAGCCTGAGTAGAGGAGCCTCGGCCTCCTAGAATGGCCCCTGGCTGCCCATTTCCCAGTTGCTCTACAGGCCTGTGTCCACCTTCTCCCATGCCAGCTGAAGCCACGGTCCGGAAGGTGGAGGGATGCTGAGCAGTCAGGACCCAGCCCCACAGCTCCAAGCCTCAGTTTCCTCCTCTGTAATTTGGGATAGTTGTGCTTATTCAGCTGACCTCTTGACTGGAGGATGCAGAGTTCAGAGAACAGTGGCTCTTCTTACAATCACGCTTCAGCCCAGATGCCACCTGCCCCTGCAGGAAGCCTTCCCAGCTTCCCCAAGTGGACCCTCCCCTCCCTTGCCCCCTCAGCCACCTGTGATCTCCCTGGAGGGTGGAAGGCACGTGCACGTGCACACAGGAAGCTGGGCACAAGCTGGGCCAGGCCCCTCCCTCCCCTCACTGTTCCTTCTCACCAGTGACCACCCCATCGCCATCGTGGTCCAAGATCCAAGCTTAGGTCCCTCCCTCCAGGAGCCTACCTTCCTTCTCTCTCCACCCACACAGTCAGACCCTGCTTCTAACTGGCTGTAGAGGCCCCTCCATCCCGCTATCCCTGCCAAGTAGCCAGGGCACACACTCACAGCCACATGGGAAGTTTATTTATAGAGCTCTCATCTTTCCCAGGGTGGCCCAGGAAAGAGCTCTGGCCTTCCAGGCAGCAGACCCGGGTTAGGATCCCAGTGACATTAGGGTCTTGCAAGTCCGTTCCCCTCTCTGGGCCCTCCTTTCCCTACTTGTACCTGCTGGCCCTCAGGACATGAGGCTAAAGACGTGAGAGCCTTGAGGGCCCTAATCCCAGGGTTGGGCACACAGTAGGGATGCAGTACTGGCTTCCTCCTGTCCTCGTTGCCACCCCAGCCACTGCCACTAGGGCCAGGCCCAGGCACCCAGGCCCTCGGCAAACAATGGGTACTGAGCTCTGGCAGAAACCTGGTCCAAGCAACCCCCGATCCTGAATGGAGGTGGGGCCAGATGGGCCTTGCTGGCTGATCTTCAGCAAAACCCCTCTCCGCCCCATAACAGAGGGAGGCTGGCCTTTACCCAGCCAGGCTAGGTGAACAGTCCCACCATTTCCTCCTCCCAGTGCAGGCCAGCATGGTCCTTTTGTGGAAACTGATGCCAGAACTGTCAGACAATACTTGCCTCCACCTGGAGACAGGGCTATGCAAGCTCTTGAGTGCCAGACTCCAGCAGCAAGACTGTGTGACTCAAGCTAGGGCTGGTTCCCTCCACGCTGAGTCTCAGCTTCCCCACTGAGCAGCTCTGGAAGGAAAGAGATCCTCGGTCAGTACTGTTGACACCTGAGCCCAGGGCCTGGCACACAGCAGGGAATTTGCTGGCCCAGAATGTCTGGGTATGCAGCACCCAGGAGAGCCCCACATCTGTGTCTGTTGCCAAACTGGTGAGGAGGGACTGCTGGGCAGGTGGGACACAAAAAAGAAGAGGGACTAACATTGGGCTGGGAGGGCTTCCTGGGTGAGGGAGCGCTAAACTCTGAGTGGCCAGGAGGGCTCTAGAAAGAGAAACCAAAAGCAAAGGCAGAGTGGAACTGAGACATCTGGTAGGGAAAGAAGGGTTTGAAAATGTAAAGTTCGAAAGGTCTTGGAAGTGTCAACACTAGGATGAGGAGTCTGGACTGTGTTGTGTAGGCAAAAAAGGAAGTTGCCTAGGGAGGATGCTTGGACAGTGCATGGAAGAACGGGAAACGGAGGCAGAGAGGCCAGTACCGGGGTTTGAGGCAGGACATCAAGGCCAGAGTGGAACATAAGAGGGAGCCCTGATTTTGTGAAGGTGTGTCTCGGGCCTGCTTCCTGCCTTAGGCCACATCCTGGCTGACAGGAAACCTGTAGCAGCAGAGAAGGTAGGTAGGTACCACATCTGGAGGGTGAGAGCCTGAATATGAGGGTTCTGGAGCCCTTGGGAAATCCCAGCACTTCTCAAACCTCAGTCTCCCTCTCTCTGTAAAAGGAGGCTGACCCCATGAGCAGGGGCAGAGTGCTGACTGCCCCTCAAAGTCTCCGCTCCTTGGCCAGACACAGGTGCCTCCGTCCCGCAACTATCAGATGAGTCTCAACTGGGGCCACATATGGAAACCCAGCCTGGCCCCACCATTGTCATCCTGGGAGGCCCCAGTCCCCAGAAAGGTCTAGCTCGGGCAAGGCACGGGATAGGGCTGGGAGGGCCTCCATCAGAGCTAGGACCAGAAGACGCTGGTCCTTCTCCTCTCCCAACCCCTCCCTGGGCCCTGAGCTATTTCCCTGTTTGCTAGGGATGGAAATAACTCAGGGTCAGCCCCAGGAGACCAAGATAACTATTCTGATCAGCCCCAAGAAGCACAACTCCAGTCATTCCAGAGAGGACCAAGGGACACCCTGACCCCAGCTCCAGTTCTCAGCCAAGCCACGAGCAGTGGTAAGGACTAGCAGGGGCCTCTGGGAAGAATGGGGAACTGAGAAGGGGCATAATCTCAAGGTCACCCCCAATCTGCCCCCCACCACAGAGTGTGGGTAGATTTGGGAAAATGCCCCTAGAGCAACTCTGAATAGAGGAATAAAGCCTCTCCAGTATGGTGAAGGTCACTGGGACTCCCAATTATCCTTGCCACCCCCTGGAGCTGGGGCTGTGCTGCTGACTCCCGACACTCTTTGTAGCTATGTGGATGCTTCCAAAGCCAGTTGCAGGCTCTAGAAGACAGGAGACAGGCCTCTCTGGTGACCTCTGGCTAGGGGTGAGACCTGTGGAAAGGGAAGAGGAGGAGGAACAGGAAGGCCACATAACCTACTCACCCGCAATGTTTCAGACATGTGGGCAAATACACACCACTTTCAGAACTCACAAAGGGACACCCTGGCAAGGCCATGCTTATCAGTCCATGTTTGAGAGAAGCAGCCTAGGTAAGCCCTGAAGATATTAGAAAGGTGGGTGGCCCTCTCCAAGCATCTCACATGGTTTTGGGGGCAAAAGACCGAATTCCAATCCTGGCACTGTCCTGTCTCTGCATGACCTTGGGCAAATCACTTTGCTTCTCTGAGCCTCGGTTTCCTCCTCTGAAAAACAGTCACATCTCAGAACCACTGTGAGGATTCAGAAAGAATACACCATAAAGTGTTCAGCATAGCACCTGGCACTGTCCCTCTATCCTCACCCCAACACAGAATGCAACCAACATTTTCTGAAGACAGAACTCTAGGTCCTTTAGCAGGTATCCCCTCACCCCTCCTGGTCTAGAGAGTCCAATTTTCATTCCACCCTGTATAAACCCAAAAGACCCTCTTGTGGGGGTGGGA